TCGGAAAGGAAGAAGAGGAGATTGGCGAAGACGGAAAACTGTTTTGATTAATGTCGTCCGTATTCTTGTCGTGAGTCCGTTGTTGATGTCGATGTTGCTTGAGGCTGGATACCAGAGCCAAACATGACACGCGGGAGGAGTCAAGAGCGAGCTAGAAGCAGCGTGTGGATGGGACCACTCTGGGCATTCGACTAGGAAAATAGGAGGGGAGGGGGGAGGGGGGGGTGTGGCGAGCGCGATGGAGGTATATATGGAAGGGTGCCGTTTTCATTTAGTTGTCTCCTTGTCAACAGGAAGACGGGAACCAGGGAGTGAGATATAGCCAGGGCACCCTTGAAAACGGGACCAATATATCTATCTGGGGGACCACGAGGAGATACCACGTTGAACGAGCGGAGAATTAGGGCTGGCAGTAATCCAATTGAGGTGAATTTTTTGAGGAGAGGATATTCAAGCAAGAGAGAGAGCGTGTATGCGTATGCGTATGCGTAGGTGTATGTGTATGTGTATGACAGCAGAGAAAAGAAACAACAAAGGAATGAGTGGCGTCTGAGAGAGAGGAGAGAAGAAAGCGAGGGATGTCAGCGTGAGTGAGCAGGGGTGAGAGGAGAAGACAAGGAGAAGACAAGGAGCAGAAGGGAGAGAGAGGCGGGAGGGCGAGAAGGAAAAGCGCAGGAGCACGTGCAAAGCGAGTGAGACGGCAGGGAGAGGACGATCGTCGTGGATAGTCAGGTCAGTCAGCCAGCGAGACGGGCAGAGAGCAGAAGAATAATCACGAATAATCAATGGTGACTGGTGAATAAGAAGAAGCTATTTTCTCATCCCTCGAACAAGCTGGGCTCTCTGTATTATTTGCCTTAGTATTTTTATCTTTATATCCTGATGTCCCCTCTGTATGAAGCAGGGCAAGGTTACCTTATATAGCATCCCCATGAAATGGTTTCCGTGACAGGGAAGAAAAGAAGCTGGGGGCTTGAAGCTTGAAAATCGAGTTACAGGAGAAGCAACTGGGCAGTAGCAGCAGCAGCAGCAGGAGCTGGATGAGGAGACCAAGAACAGGGACCAGAAGCCATTGAGGAAAATTGGAAGCAGAAGAAGAACGAGTGTGTGCAGCAGAGGGAGGTGGGGAGGGGGAGGAAGAGGGGGGGAGTACTACTGCATACGCAGGAAGAGCAAAAAAGCATCCATCGTCGTTGTCGTCGTCGTCGTCGTGGGCGGCGGCGGGATGTATGTATGTATATATGAACAGAGAACGAATGGGTGCGGAACGAACCAAGGGCGAAGGGAGCCAGCAACAGCGGCCCTGTGGGCGGTGGATGGCTGCAGCAGAGCCCAGCCCAGGCGAGCACGACCGACGCTGCTCGGGGCCAGGAGCAGGACGCGGCAAGGAGGGAGTAAGGGCTGCAGTACATCAGTCAGTAGTCAAGTCATCCCCGGTATCGTACCGTTCGTACCTGGCTTGGATCGTGTTTTTTGCAGTTTCAAGAAGCCCTCGCCAAGAGCAGGCCTGGAACGCAATCGTCGCGTCCCACGCTTCTGGTTTTGTTTCTTCCGGCGGGAGATGGATGCTCTTTTGCAAAAATGAGCAGCCAATCAATCAATACATGGGACAGGAGACGATGTTCGGTGCCTGAGTCGGGTTACACAGCTCGGGTCTCTCATGGGAAATATTCTACAGCAGCCATGCATGCATATTCCCGACGGTCCCAATCGCAATGCATCGTCATATCTGTTGATATCTCTCTATCCTCCTAGCTATTGAGCTCAAAACACACTAGAACCAAACCCCCTAACAATACACAAAACTGGCCATTGCAAAAAAAGGAAGCTTGCTTGGTAAAACCGTCGCGTATCTCTCCGGTAAACTCTAATACAACACAAACCAGGAACCAGGAACCAGCTCAATCAATTACCAAACACAAGCCAAGATGCGAGGAAACCAACAGGATTTCCATGTCTGTTCTGCTCTTCCATCCGTTCTTCATCCATGCTTCGGCAGATCACGCCATCCATACCAAGCTTCCAAGCTTCCAAACTTCCATCAGACTCCTACGACTCCACCCGCGACCCTCGTCATATCGGCCCACGGTGCGTTTACGATCAACCAGCGATAATGAGACGGCGAGGGTGTTATGTGTAGTGTAGTAGAAGTATGTCTGTCCCAAGACCTCCAGCGTTACACAGGAGGCGAGAGAGCGTGCATCTCTTGATCTCTCACGGCCGATCTGTCGGTATCTATATGGCTACGATTTACAGTACATACAGTACATACGTACCGGGGGAGAGGGAAGGGTGGAGAATTGTAACATATCTTCACACATCTTCATTCATTCATTCATTCATTCAAACTGACTATACTTTTTGTTCTCCACTTCCCTAATCAATTAGCTGCTTCGGTGCTTCTACATGTCTGGAATTGGCCAAATGGTTAAATAAACTAATATTCAAAGAAAAAGAGGAACAGCAGAAGAAGCATGATGATGTTTGGAGCTGCAGAAAGCAGCAGCAGCAGATCTGAAAAATCCTCCCAGCTTCAGCCACACTCCTCAGGGAAAGGAAAAGGAAAAAAGAAATAAGAAAGGAGCTTTTGTTTTTCCTCTTGACATTTTCCCTTTCAGCTGGTTTTTGTGCAGTGTATTTCTTTTCCTTTCTTTTCTTTTTTTATATCTCTCCTTTCCCTTCCATGTCTCTTCTGAAAACTCGTCTACGAAAACTGCCGAACCCGACCCGCCCACCCAAAAAGCTAAAAATGGAAAAACGAAGAATTGTCCATCATCTATCCCGATCTACCTTCCCAAAAAAAAACCCATTCCGCTCCCGCTTAGGGACGGCAAGAAATCTTGTGACAAAACGAATCCATAAATCAGTAAACCAATAACTAAGCCAATAACTCGTCTTCCTCCCTGATCCTTTCTGCAGAAGACAGAAAATGGTGTGGGGGGAGACATATTATAAGTTAGACGTAGACTGTGCTTTTCCACAAATCCCCCTGATCGACAACGGAGAAAGGAAACAAAAACAAAAACAAAAAAGAAAAACGCCCTGGTTTCTGCCACTTCAATTTCCTCCAGCAACTATCCCACTCCTCCTGATTTTCCCTTGAATTCCGCAGCGTTGAAAATCGTGCCAGCCAACGATGTAGCTACTGTATTGGGGGAAGTTCATCCATGGTGGTCAAAAATGGCCCGATGGTACCTGGGGCTGAGACCTTTGGGAGGGGGTGGAGGTTGCTTCCTGTGTCTGCGGTGCCTGTGGTGCTGACGCCCAGGTTTCAACTAGCCTAGCCGCGATGAGGGGAGGGGAGAGGGACGAGACTTCTCTCACCCAAACACAAGACAGACATCGACATCCCCACTCCCCTCCTCCTGGGTTGTGGATGATTGACGATAGTGAAACGATGGGGAGATAAGCTTGGGGTCCTCGGTTGTTGAAACTTTTTTGAATTTGAACTTGTGTGTGAAGAAAAAGAAAACGAAGGGAGTATTGTCAATTGAAACAAAAAAAAAAAAAAATTCTTTTGAAGGATGGACGGACGCAATGTACTGCCGTCGTTCGCCTACTACTGGGTAGTTTTCCTTTTCCCTCGTTCGTCGTTTTTCCCTTCTCTGCTTTAACTTACCTGGTTAGTACGTCGGTTCATGTAGGAAAGTAGATATACTCCTTGCGGAGCTGTGGAACGACCTGCTGCGTCACTGCACAGTTCGAGGTAGCTGAAGCCGTGGCCCCTCCGTGGGTGGGCTTGGTTGGGTCTTGCTTGACAAGCTTGACGTGCCCTGCTGGCTGCAGTGCGCGGGCCATTTGGGACCCAATGGGTCGCAGACTCGCAGATAGAGTTAAAAAGCAAGCTGCTGCTTGCTGGTGATTGCTGGTTGCTGGTTGCTGGTTGCTGCTACTTGCTGCGAACGAGGATCGATTGTTTTTTTTTAAACTTTGGCGCATGGGAGCCAAGCAGCGATGATGGAAAAGCCATGGAAAACAACGCGATGGATTTTCAAGCTTCGAGCACTTTGTTGGCGAGAGTCAACTCACCCGCTGCGCGACCCGGAGAAACTGATTTTTCGGATTTACGACGCGGATTTGAAGCTTAGCTTGACCCAATCTTGACCATGTTTCATTGCACAGAGCACGGAGTCTGTCGGTAATTCTGCTCTGCTCTGCTCTGCTCTGCTCCGAAGAAGGAAAAATACAGTTTTCTTCTCTCCATAGCACCGCATCAAATTGGGATCGAAAAAAATCCAACAAGATTTCGCAAAAAACACAGTTAATTTGTCAATCCAAAATTCAGAACTGTGAGCAGCAATTGACGCTCCAGACGCAGTTATTTTTTGCTCCTCAGCACCAACTCCACTAACAATGCATGCTAACGTTCCTAAAACGAACCGATGGAAAAGCAAAACCTGCTAAAACAAGCCGAAAAGCCAACCAAACACCACCAAGAAACGATTTCTCATCTTAGCTCGCTTTCCCCAGCAATCAAAGGCTCTCCAATGGGCCAACCCTAGGCCAGCCACAGAAGGAAATTCCAACGGCTGTCTGAAAGTTTCGAAACTTGCCAGGAGAGCCCAGCCCAGCGCGGCATTCTTTGGCTTAGCGGCTTGAACTAAAATTCGCTAAAACAAAAGAATGCAGAGCCAGCTTCCGAATCTCCTAGAAACTTCCCTCTCTTCCAACAGGAACAACCAACAACAAATCCCCCCTCTTGCAACGGCCCAGTGCGACTCCAGCGATCGGCTGCGGAAGAAATCCCAGAGGATGACCGATCGTCGCTGGTCGAAACTTTACTTACACTTCACTTCGGCCCTTTTGTTCCTGATCGGCTGCCGATCATTTCATGATGCTGAGGGTCAACGATTTTATATCCGAAAAGAAAGATGAAAGAAAGAAGACACTCCCGGCCGTGGTGGTTCGCTTTCCCGTTTTCTTTTCTTTTTTTGACCCTTTCGTGGATGATAAAATCAATAGTTTTTGCATTAACGCAGAAGTAACCAACAGCTTAGCAGGGGAGGAGGAGGCTTCTTTCTTTGATTGAGAACTGTCTCCTCTCTGGCCTTGAATATGCAGTATAAGCTAGGTTGTGATCTCGGCGGAGGATGTACCAGATGTCTAACCCCAGGTAGGCAGGTCAGGGCATGGCCGACGTGCAACCCTCTTCCTTGGGTTTTAGTAGTGTATTACTCTAGATAACCAGCTTGGGCTTGCGTGGGCTTGCATGGGTCTTGAGGCGATGTATGATGTACTGTACCTGGCATCCTTCTTGGCTTGTTCTCTATTCTAACAAAACTACTTGTGATTCTCCTCGTGGGTTTCTTGAATCGCGGCGGGGTTAAGTGGTGGTGCGAACAGGGAAAAGTGCTGTACCCTGTCTCCCGGAGTGGGAGAGGCGATATCAAGAGGAGACGTTGAATGGCGCAGATTTTTTTTATATACGCAGTATATATAGAAAATAAGGGATGGGCAGATTTTCCAAGTAGTATCGATCACTTCCCCCATTAGCCAGCAAGTCTGTGCACCGCCCAAGATCTCTCCGACAGGTTGGACGCTTTCCTTGGCCATGATTTCTTGAGTTTAGGACGGTGGAAAGCATTCGATCGACGCACTGCTATCTGATGTACTGGGGAACTCGATGAAGTCGCCGTTTTCTGGAATGCGATCAAGAGCGGAGATACGTAGATAATGCCTGGAATCCCAACCAACTATTCGTTTGTTCGATTGCTTCTTGCTGGAGGAATGAATTTCTTCTTCTAGTTCCTTTTTCCCCTCCTCCCATGCTCGGCTCAAGCACGTACAAACTAGTTCCGGATCCGTTTTCAAGGCCATTGTTGCCCGTTGCAGCCATGGATGATGGACGTTTAACAGGATATATGCAACCTCCCGCAGACACTGTACCCCTCTGCATCTTCATAATGTCTCCATACCCTGAACAATTATTTTGTATCGTGGATACCTTGCACGTATGCACGCATCCGAGAAATAATTGAAAAAGGGGAGGAGGCTCGTGCCTGGCCGGCTTCGCTCGCCCATGCTCATGGTCAACCCTGACCCTGACCCTGACCCCTCCCTTCCTCCAACCCCGCTCCCTGCTGCATAACGTTGCATGAGAAATAGAAATCCCTTGCCAAGTCAGGACCTTTTTTTAAAAAAGTTATGTGTTTTTTTTCGTCGTTCTAGGTTTGTGGGCATATTTATTTCTTGATAAATTATCATTTCCAGCAATCACACGACTCCCCGCTTGACCCTAGTGCAAGTTTAACTCTCCAAGGAAAAACTGTATGTAAGTTCATCGGCGGGTGGGAATTTGCTCGAATACTTTTTTTTTTTTCTATGATTGGAAGAACGGATGGCATTGGATTGTCATTTACCTTGCACGTATCCCACAAGCTGCAGGTCTGCATATACGTTGCGCACTTCTCTGAAGCAATAAAAAAGTATAAGAGAAAAATATCAAAAACCCAGTTTACCATTGGCTCATGTTCTCCTCAAACCCCCCACCTCAGCAGCCAGTGGGGAACGAAGTATACCGATCAGCAACCAACCATGCAATGGCATTGCCAGAGAAGAGAGTGAAAAGAAAAAGAGTTTTGTAAAGAGATAGAAACAGCACATACGTGGACAGTACATGTACATGTACATGAGATAACAGAGCAACGCCACGCTCTGATCTCTTGAACTACACAATACTCCATCATCCGCTTTCCCCGCCATCCTGGCAATATTGCTAAAACCCCAGATCTCCCACAAAGATGGGCGTGGATTCCCAGTCCAGATACATATACTGCGTACATCTCAAATGCTCCGTAGCAGTTCTATCCTTGCTCAACCCTAACCCTAACTTCCAGGATGTATTAGGTAATATTGGATCCCGCAGGGAACATGGTTTCTAAGATTGATAGCCAGCCCCTTTTTGATCCACCTCCAAAAGGAAAACCCCATGCTCGACTTTTCGTTAATGAGAACATCCCATGTCCAACAGGAACCCCGCGGGGGGAATGGTTACATGGCCCAAAAATGCTTACTTGCATTTCGTCGTCGTCATTGTGTCGACATGCAGGCATTGGTAAGCTTTTCTTGTTGTACACGAAGTTTAGGAACTGCAAATGTTTAACAAGCACATCTCCTACCTATTGCGTAAGTACCGTAGATCGGCAGTTTGCAGATACAACATTTTGAAGCAACGATGAAGGTGGGTTGAACCTAAATAATGTTCAAAGAAGACTAAGATTAAGTGTGCAGTAGCGAGAATGTGGAAAAAAAAAATCAAGATAAACATGAAACGTTATGAACCCTGGGGATATCGAAAAGTATGTCCTGGATGAGGTTTCTGGAAATGCTTCGAAATGGCTGTTCATTATTGCGGGCTGCCGAACGCACCGCACGGAGGGAACTCATTCAAAGAGAACTTATAAGAGAAGTAAAAGCAGCAGGTTAGAAATCTAGCTCAGTTATTCTTATTTTTCTTTTGAGTATAGTTATGTATGATCTGGATTTCTACTTCTTTCCCTCCCTTTCTTTCCTAATTCCTGGTTTCCTCTCCATCCAACCTTCAAGGCAGAGTTTGAACAACTTGATGTTGTGGTTGCTCGGAAACCCCTTTGAAGACATGAAATGGCTGGTTATCAGATGGTATTACTTATGGGTTACAGAAAGAGGGAACAGGTCGAAACTCGGTTCGGCCTGTTGTTGCTTGATACGCGGTATTGAATCTCGGTACTTCACGCACAAGATCTAATATGGTGTATCTCGGCGAAAGATAGAGCGAGCAATTAATTTAATTCCATGGATACTATTATTCTCTTCTCTCCTGGGTTTGCTATAGAAATCGGCCGGGACACCTTTCTCTGGCTCGACTCCACCCTTTATCCTCTTCTTCCCTATCCACTGCCAGGTCATGACATCACAGGAACATCGAACATTCTTTCTCCGCCCCGCTTAGCATGTTCCGGAAATAGTGAGGGCTTCCAAAACAGGATCAAAAATGGAGGTGCGTGTGTATATGGTTATTCTTTGCAACAAGTGAAAAACAACGTATTTCTATGTTGTCTGAATTGCTCAAGACACTGTCCATGTGCTGACTAAGGGTTTCTATTGTTTTTTTCCCGTGTTCTTTTTTTTCAATAACGTTTCAAACCACGCAACCTGAAAATGAAAATGAAAGGATACGGTAAACAAAAAACAACCCGATGCCAGGAAAAACAGTAGATACTGAAACATTTACGCAAGCTGGCACTTTTTGCTCTTTCCTTCTCTTTTCGGGAGTTCGAAAGGAACGCAGCGAGCGGAATTCAGAAAGAAAAAAAAATATAGTAACCGCAAACCAACGAATCAATAAGTATCATCACGATGTCGATCACGTCAGACTGGAGTCAACAACGTGATGTGACTCTCATGCGTGTGAAAGGAACCATTAACCCAATAAAAAAAAAGGGCTTCTACCTTTTTTCCTTTCGCTGTCGCTCTGGGCTTCAGGAACTGGATCCGCCGATACGAGCTGGCTGGCGGCTCAATGTCAAAGTTGAGACGAAGATCGACATGTTGGACTCAATCTGCTTGGGCTGGCTAGGCTGATCGAATGTGATGAGCCTATGGCACGTTGCTGGGGTGGTGGCTTCTCTCATTTTTCTTTTTCTTTCGGAGAATGAAGTTATATTCCCGTGCTCTCATGCTTCAATAATCGGCTCAATACTGAGGCTTGTTTTCTATTCGTCGGATGACAAGACAATTTTGCCTGAGAATCTTAACAAATAATGATACACAACTTTCATTGCATTTTCATTTTCATTTTTTTTTTTTGTCTTCGAATAAAAAATGAAAATGAAAAAAGACATTACGTTTTGCATACACCGTGTCCGTTCGGCCATGATACAGGACGAGAGGAGTGGAAAAACGAAAAAGAAAAATCCCCGGATCCAAACCAAAAGTGACCCGACTGGGTTACGATCTCTCTCGCCCAATCACCCCTGTTTGGCTCTGCCGTGTCTTTACGCGTTGGTGCTTACCCTTATGCAAGCGCTCTGAAGGGACACAAAACCCCACACATCCGCGCGAACGAGGATTCAAGGGACAGCTTACGAGGGACGGACAGCCGGGATCAAAGGCTAGGATCAAGGGATGGCTGCTCCAGGGACAGCGAGGGGCGTTTTCCCCAAATATGAAGAAGATCGTACTGCAAATCGTTGTCTAACGGTTGCGCCGCTGAGATCGCGATACGATCAAAGTCTTGGAGGCAATGTGCTTGAACCAGATAAGCAGAATACTCCTTTTGCGAGGAGAAAAGCGTGCGTGCCATTCGCCCTATGCACAGCTCGATGTGATATCTGGTTGCATGGGCAGAGATGAGATCGAGTGTCCCTACCACCAGCGAATCCTCGAGGAACGAGAATTTTGGGAGTTTTGCGGCTCCAGACTCTAAATAATCGTTAAGTGTCATGATTATTTGGAGGACCATTTCGATGGTGGTGATGGTGGCTGATAGATCATGATCATGCTCTGTTCGGGGCAAGATCTCTTGGTGGAAACCTTATTTTGTTCTGCCTTGGTGCCATTTTTCTTTTCTTTACGTTTTCTTTTTCCTTATCCTCTTGAATTTTCTTTGATTACGAGATTTCGGCGCAGCAAGGCCACGCTGTTCTTGATGGCTATTTCTTAGACTTCTGAATATTTTACATAGTACTTTTGAATCCAGCCCACTTCTCGGATCCTCGAGATGCCGTCCAGGAGCAAACGTTGGTAGCCACAGGTTCTACCCACGAATTTCTCTGATCAGCCTGGCAAAAGGAAATATATTTTCTTCAAGGAGAAAAGCTCCATTATTTTCACGGCAAAGTGAAGTCGTACAAACGACATGGTGCGGATTCGGGAATCACACCTATTCGTTGTGCTCTCGGGCTGTGCATATGCCTTCGCATTCTCTTTGGAAATTACTCGGAGCTCGGGCTTCATTCACAAAAGCGTGGAGCCCGAATGGGAACATTATTGTTATTGTCACCCGCCAATTTTCGTTTGACACGAAAGGGACGTGCAATTCTCTCCATTTTGGGTTTGGCGGGGAGAAGAATAGAGGGCGGTGGGCTTGTCTTTTCAATCAATAGGTGGATTGAAAGATGCACGCAAACAGAATGAACATCCTGATTGATGGTTGACTTTACGAACAACTCTTCACTGAGTCGAGGTTCTAGTGTACCTGACTGTCAAGCAACTGATCCTTTGCATATTTCCTTTCCTGTTGCTCCGTCTGCCACTAAAACATCCCACACGGGAGTGAGAGAAACATTTCGTTACTTTCTTCTGCAGAAACACTTCTAAAACTTTCAAACTTGCTTGCAGTATCCCCCAATGCCATGATTCTATCACACCCACAAGCTGGATGCTCATGGGTTCCTTTCTAAAGTGCTCAAAGGTGTATTCAGGGAGACCTGAGAACCTATATACTGTATCCCGTCATTTAAATGGAAGCACGTCTTTCGAGCATTAAGATTTCCCACAAATAGAATGACCATGTACTACTTGTCCTGAAACAGAATTTATGCCTAGTTCTTCGACCTGAATAGAAATCAGACCTTGAATTTGATAGATCTCTCTGGGAAAGTACATACCGCAACGCCAGCCTGCCAGCATTGCATATGCATCGTGGATGATTGCATGCCGCGCTCAGCATTTGTTTCTTCGAACCTCTTGGATGTGAATACATGTGGCTCTGCCGCATCAGTTCTCAGAGAATCTATCTCCCTTGATATTTGATTGAGCCGAGATATTTGACTAATTAAGCTACTGAAGCCCTTTATATTTACTTGGCTCAACGAGCAAGCTTCCAATTGATATGCAGTTAGAGCAGTGCAAGCAAAATATTACAACTTGCATGATATTTGGTTTGAGAAGTTTTTCGTCAAACAGCCTTGCTACAGAAGACGATTATTCTTCCACTGCTAGGGATAATGGCTTCTTGCATAGCCGGGGTGTGCCAAATTTCCCCAGTTCGACATTTGAAAGATTGGATTTTTCGATATGTCGTCAGCAGCTCGCTCCTGCAAACCTTCGAAATAGAATGGCGAATGTATATTTTAACTAATAGAAGGAAAATACTCGAGAGCACGAGTGAGCCATGCTGCTGGATGTGACAGCAATGTCACCAGCCGAAGCTCTCACCTTGCGTCAATGGCCTGTTCTATGACAGAACTTGAAAGATCGCTAGTACGAACAAGATAATTATTCATCCCTACCTGGCACGGATGCAGGAATAGTTCCGGAGCCTATTGGCTCAGAAACACAAGGCCCTGATGGAATATTGACAGAGGGTTTTACCCCTATAAATGAAGACGCGGCCTGATTAGACGGGAAAGCGCTTACCGGGGCATCACAAAGGATGATGGCAAAACATCCTAAGTATCTATATTCTTGGAAAAGAGTTCATAATCAAACTATTCTGTAAGGTGAATCAGATATTGACGACTTCAGGTTGCTGCATCTACTGTTGGATGGTGCAAGTCATTTGCTAATTTAAGAGATGTACGACAGCTTAAATGGCCTGGCCTTCGAAAGTTGACCGCTAGAAGTTTCATTCTGGAGTACGAGAATATGCGGTCTTCAAACATCCACCCATTTTACCCCGGTTCGCGGCTATCGGTCCTCCAGATAATATTATAGAACTTCGTTGTGACAGCTGCAATTTCATTTTAAGGTCCAGCGTGAAATCCTGTGAAACAGCTTACTAAAACTCCACCAATGCAAAGCTGGTCATAATTCTCGTTAACAGCTCCATCTCCCATTTTCAAAGCAGCCCGATTTCAAATTTCAAACATCTGCCTTGCTTTCGCTGATTCCCCGCAGTATTTAATTTTGGCCTGTTGACTTGAAACAAGGGGTGTTGAGAGTTAGATAAGCCAATGATGGTCGAGTGCTGACCTTGAAGTATGTCGGGTACAATAAATATTGTGTCCCCCATTACCCAGATATGCCATGTTTGAAAGCAAATTACGTACTGATTAACAGCACGGTACAGATTGCAATCTCGAAATATTTGCCATAGCCTCCTGGCCCGGGTGTGAACGGCACGGAAAGACATAGCCAGACACGGTTTATGTTATCCGTTGCCGATGGACCAACTAAATCTGTACGTTTCAAGGGGCATTCATCCCTCGTTATATCCGTTCAGGTCGCCATGAGCTTGATTATCATTTCTTCAAAAAAAAATTAAAAAGGAAGGAAGGAAAAGGTGGAAAGAAGACGAAAAACAAAAAGAGGGGGGATGATTGTTCATTGCATCAAGAGTTAAGAGCAACTGGTAATATTTTGGTCTTCAAATAATGGCCGTTCGATGTTGGCCATTGCAGGGGTTATGATCATCGCGAGAACGGGCTACCTAAAGGGTAGATGCTAGTCATAATGTCGGCAGAAGCAGTCAAGGGCCCTGAGATGGCCAATGACCATTCCTTCGCAACAGCTTAGAACACTCTATCCATTCCATATTTAGATATGAAAGGTGCTCTCAGAATTGCTATCTTAAATACGTTTCCCATTTAGTTCCATCAATGATTCTAGATTTGAGAGAAAGAAGAATAGTAAAAATAATACTTCATAGTCTATCTTGAACCTGGAGACTGGAAATAAACTTTCGGGAACGAAGCTTATTCTCAGCCTCATTATCACGTGATTAAGATCTTCTGCCACCTCGTTTTCAACTTGAGAAATTGTCCTCATACAATACGTCACAGGAATCGCTCAACTTCAACTGCTCGTGGTTATAACCTTTTATTATCTGTCCTACGCATGCATACTGCAATGAACCATTTCTTTCCTTAGTAGCAGTTCTCTTTACCTGCCTCCAACTACACTTTTCTGCCTTATATCTCCCTATATAATCCAGCAAACGGCAATCTAACAACCATGGCCTTCTCGACCCCGGTCACGACCACCTCCTCTCCCTCTCCCTCCCTTTCTCCCTCCCGCCCACAATCGCAGTCCCTCATAAAGCGCCCGTCCTCCGCTTCAGATGCTCTCATGATGGCCCCACCGCCCCTACCTAAACGCATAAAACGTCCCGCCACTGTCCTTGACGAAGACGAATATACCGACGCTCTGTCTCATATCATCGCCCGTGACTTCTTCCCTGGGCTGCTGGAGACCCAAACCCAGCGAGAATACCTGGACGCCTTGGAGTCGCGCGATAAGGAGTGGATCAAGCGTGCGGGAAAGAATTTGGAGGCTGTGATGACACCACGGATCGATGCTGGTGGAAAGAGGAGTGCCAGCGCTACCGCTACGAGGTTCGAGAGATCGGGGAGTGCGACGCCCAAAGGAGGTAGTAAGTGGGCTGGTGGTGATACACCATTATCTGTGGCAGGTTCGACGACCTCGATAAATTCAAGAAGTGAGGACGGGAGCACTGCTGGTCGAGACTCCATTGTGGATGTACGGAATATGAGCCTTTCGATGTTCCAGTCGAAATATACCAGTGAAGACAACGAGTCATTTAATAAGTTGCTTGATAGACAGAATGTCAAGAAGAGACAGAAGTATGCGTGGATGTGGAACGGAAATAAGATTTTGACACCTAGGCAGATCGCCTTCAGGAAGCGAGAGGCAGAGAGGACGAAGAGGCTCCCTCCCCCTCCTCTTTCTTCTTCTCCCTCTTCTACTTCCCTCTCGCTCTCTGCTTCAGCGTCGGTTTCGGAAAGCGAAGGTGTCAGTAATAAAAATAACAAACGAGTTCAACTTATCACAACCGATCAAGATGCCCGCCCTGCCCAACCGGATGCCTGGGCCTCTAAGCCTGAAAACGCTCTCATGTTTATCCCATCTTCTGTCGAAGACACACACGAAACCGTTGCACAAAAGGCAGAATCTACATCTCGCGCCGGTCCCAAACAGGTCATATACAACAATACTCGCGTCCAACACACCCCGCCACAACCGGATGGGAGCGCAAATAATAGCAATACCATCCCGCCATCTCCCTCCCTCTCCGCAATCCGCGATGCAATCGCCGGCCATCCGCATTCCACTGGTTCCGAACCAGGCTACACAGGCGCCGAAACACCCCGAGTGAATGGCTATGCATTCGTAGATGAAGACGAACCAACCCCACAACCTCCAGATGACGAAGATAACTCCGCCTACCACCTCTCCCTCCTAAAAATGAACATCGACACCTCCAGCTCCGCAACACCAAACCCTTTCACCATCCGCGAAAATCGTCGTCGCGAACTCCTGCACCACCGCATGGTCGAGCGTGTTGCGACTATTAAGCGCGCGGAGCGCTCAGGGAAAGATGTCCGGACTCCTGTGCCAAAGTTTCCCAGTAGCCCGATGATTGCGTTTGGGAAGACACCGGGGTCAGGTGGTCGGACGCCTGGTGTTCTTAGCGGTAAGGGATTGAGTAAAGCGTCGCTGACACCGGCGGCACAGAGGCTGTGGGCGGCTGTGGGGAGTACGCCGGGACGCCGGGGGGTTTCTGAGGAGGGGTCGAAGGATATGTGGACGCCGAAGAGGAAGTAGAATGGGGGTTTTTTTTAGGCCTTTTCTGGGCTGGTTTTAGTCTACTGTTTATTTTTTTATTCTTCTCTAATTATTTACCATTTTTCCCCTCGTGGTACAGGGATGGTTGGATGGGAATCGGTTTGGAAAGGTTTGATGTACCATGTTATCGTTATCAATTAGCACTGTGCTCTATACATCTATGCGGTGTATTTATATTAGGTTATCAACGGGGTAGAGCCTTCCTACATGACTCCCTCTTATGAAATTATATGAAAAGATATGCATCTATGGCTATCGTCGTTGGAATATAACTTGTTAATTGATTTATGTGATGAAAGCTTCCAAATATTCTCTCGTACGATCTTCATATCATACCATTTTATTTTTATATAGCTATTATGACTTAACGTACAAACGTATCGTTTTATAAAACGAGCGGCGGTAGTATAGATAAAAGTCGTATGCATATGGACCTAGGCCTGGAGAAGAACAGTTCTCTCAATTTCTGTGCGCAATCGTAAAATGATCACGATGAATGGAGATGAAAAATGGCGACCAAGGTAGCAAGTATAGCCAACTGCACTGGTGAAATATTAATACTCCTGTTTTCAAGCAAGTAGCTAAAAACCGGGAGTAGAGATCTTGTCATAGAAAGCCCAGGAATTATAAACATTAATATTGATCCAACCCATTTATATCTTATATCTGCCACTTCTCTATTTGCATTAAAATAAAATACAAGCTTCGTTTACACCAAAATCAGCGATGAATGCTGAAATAGACCGCTAAAAAGGGAAGAAACAGTGACAAAAAGATAAATCTACACCATCCAAAACACCATCCAAAACCCAACAAGCCCAGCCAGCCCAAGCATGAAACTTGCCCCTACAAATCCACTGCTCCCATTCAAGAAATACGCCGCGCCAAAATAACTACAGGTAATATCGCCATTGGGACTTTTCATCCCGTAGGACTCATTCAACCACTTCCCGGTAGGGCACGAAAATCCCAGAGCAGCGGGACAGCTTTGCACAAGCTCGTGACAGAGATCTTGGCACGGTAGAACCTCCTTATAGGGCCCCGGTTTAATCTTCTCGTCGATGAGCGGATTGCGGGATGAATTCGAGAGCACCATCTGCCGCAGCGAGTCGTCGATGGCGATGACGGTGTTGTTTGGGAACTGCTGCGCTGTGTTGCGCGGGCGAAGAAAGGGAAGGGTACTGGAATAATCGGCGCAGCGAGGGATGGTGACGGCACAGAGCCACTGTTGGTAGGCAGCTGCACAGTCTGTGCAGTTGCGGACGAGAGAGTATTGGGATTTTGCAGAGGCGTTGCAGGGGATTTGGGCGAGGGAGCGCGTGAAGTTTTTGTATAAGTTTGCGGCATAGGTGTCGTAGAAGTTGGCGAGGTCGTCGAGGGACATAGATGGATTGGATGGGACGGCGTACGCGACCTCGGAGCAGAATTCGAGGCTGTGTAAGATGGCACAGTTATTATCTGTTTTTGGTTATATAGTGTTAGTATATTGTGATGGTATGTCAGGGGACACCCCGCGCATCTATCCCATTTTCTAGGGGCTAAATCAGCGTACCTGCTTTGGTGGTAAATTTCGTGGGTCTCCAGACTTTGCCGCCGCCGCCAACAACTCCTTTGCCAGAATCGGTGGAGTTGCCTTCCATTGCTAGAAACCCGTAATAGGATGTACTACTATTTAGGCCTCGGATATAGAACTGTTCTTTTGGTTTGTGATTTTGTCCCCTGTTGGTCATGCTGACTTGTACATTATCGCCGTCCTTGCGAATTTGTGCATTGCCTTTCAGTCCGCAATAGGAATTCTGTACGCCTAAAATCGACTTATCCTTCGTATCATGGGCAAACATGGTAAAAGGTGGAGGATCAAGGTTCATCCACTGCTGGTAAATTTCATCGTCAGGGCTCGCGTTGGTTGCATCCTTGGTCTGAAGCAAAGCAGATCCGCTATCACTATCGACGAAGAATAGATAAGGGACGTTAGATTCAGCTTCATGAAATAATCGGTCAATGGACGCTGCGATCTCAAATTTGTATGAACCGAAATAGCTTTTGTCTGTTGGCGCAGATACTGAGATGTAGATGGGCCCGTCAGCATCGAGGACGGTGCTCGCGTAACCACCATCAAAGTCTATGACTTGCAAATTTGAGACTTGAGCTCCGGGATCTGGCTGTTGAATATCCGTGGATGGGGAAACCTTGAGCTGTAATTGTGGTGGCCCCGTGTTCCGCGAATCTGGTGTAGCATTGAATGCAGGTTGTAAGCAAGTGGTTGCAGATATATACACTCTTGTCGCCTGTTTAACTAGCGTATCATTCCGCCGCTTCAACTCCGTCCGTTCCATTAAACCATTATCTAGAAACTCCTTCTCATTAAATCCAGGGAGTCCCCGCGAAGGGCCCGACTTTGGGCCAGCCAAAGTGTCCTCAGGAATCCAAAAATAAAGCGTCGCCCCCAAATCAACCTCTCCCTCCTCAGGAGCATTGTTCCCTAACGAAACAGCATTATTCGGAGCTCGTCGCTGGATACCAGAAACAGTACCAACAGAGGTAAGGTCAGAGTCCGGAGCCGCAATGGTCTCTGGAGCTACTCCATCAGGGCCCAGATGTAAGTCGATATCCTGCAATCGGGGATGGTTATGGTCTTTGGATATTATTGAGTCGACATCAACAGCATATGCGAGACTTGGGTTCGAAAGAACGAAATAGAGGACGATGATGATGAACAGGGTGGCCGCTAGAGAGGCCGCGAAGCGCGATTGTAAGGGTGAGAGTTTCAGACACGGCATCCTGGATAGGATCGTAAAGACCTGCTCTGAGAGCGATTGCGCTAGGTCCTAAGGACCTGTATGTGAAATATGCAGCAACAGATGCCTATTCAAGGTGAGTCGTCCGCCCTGTGCACATGCACCTCGTCGCATATCGAGCGGCTGAGCAGCTAGAAGCCTGCAGATTGTTGGCCTTTGGGGACAACATAAGCCAACGGAGAAGCCAACTCAAATATGGAGATATATTGCTCTTCCACACACGGTTCTCTCAAACAACCTCCTGCATCAAAAGTCGCCGGCTGCCGGATGAACATAATTCCGTTACCAAATCCATCTGACTAAGCCATCGCCACTCTAGTGAGTTTGACTGACTACATGTTTATTTATGGAAGCCCTTCTCCCCAGATATTCAAAGGAGATCCAAAGATAAAATAGAACGAGGCCGAAGGCACAGAAACCATCTAGCCCACCATGCCTCGCGCAGAAGTCGGCAGCACAAAGTACCTGAGCAACAAGCTCAAGTCCAAAGGCCTCCAACGTCTGCGATGGTACTGCCAGGTTTGCGAGCGGCAGATGCGTGACGAGAACGGCTTCAAATGCCACACGCAGTCAGAATCACATGTGCGCCAAATGCTGCTTGTCGGCGAGGACCCGCGCAAATACATCCAGCAATATTCCAATGAGTTCCTGTCCGACTTCCTCAAGCAGCTCCGCACCAGCCACGGTGAGAAGGCCATCAATATCAACCACTTCTACCAAGAATACATCGCCAATAAAGAGCACATACACATGAATGCCACACGCTGGCCGAGCCTGACGGAATTTGCGAAATACCTTGGTCGTGAGGGGATTTGTAGGGTTGAGGAGGGGGAGAAGGGAATTTTTATTTCGTGGATTGATAATAGCCCTGACGCGCTGAGGAGACAAGATGCGTTGAGGAAGAAGGAGATGCAGGATCGCGGCGACGAGGAAAGGGAGCGGAGGATGATTGAGGAGCAGGTGCGCCGGGCGCAGAGGGATAGGGAAATTGCAGGGAGGGAGCCTCCGCAGAAGGATGATACGGATGCGGCACCGAAAGAGTGGCAGCCGACTGAAGGGGAGAAGATAAAATTGAACTTTGCGTCATCTAAGGGAGTTGCTTCCTCTTTATCCACTTCTGCATCCCCAGCCCCAGTGGACACAACCTCACCCGCACTCACGCCCGCGCCCGCGCCCGCGCCCGCTCCTACACCAGGCGACAGGAACGGCGAACAATCCCCAGCTCAAAATTCATCTCCATCCTCAAAACCATCAACTACAACACCCGCACCGCCAACAACGAACCAATCAACATTACCGATGACAGCATCAGCCACACAATCCGACCGATCATCAGCCTCCCTCAAGGTGGGCACCGTAACCTCAAAGCCCAAAAACGTCTTCGCTGCAGCGTCCAAGAAGAATGCCCTTGCAGCAGCTACAAAGAAGAAAAAGGTAGAAGCACCTTCAAAACCACTCACGGCCACTGAGCGCATCATGAAGGAGGATATGGAGCGTAAGCGCTCTAGAGAGGAGCGGCCTAAGGGGTTTAATAATGGTGGGATTAATTTTAAGAAGCAGAAGATTGCATGATTCTCCGAAGCATTTGAATGCTTTATTTTAAAAAGCCCTGGATGGAAAGGGTTTGTTCTATCTCTTTTTTGGTTGGGCTTGGCGCGTGGACTAGTGTGGCGTTCCAGTGACTGTCATAGGTATAGATAAGGACATCTCGGTACATAGACAGGCAGGAATTCTTCTTTTATATCTACACTCATACCTGGGTACATATGGATGCAGAAAATATTTCGCTCTTCGTAAGAGGGAAAGCAATATAGATTCATGACAATCATGCCTTCACCATCACAATGCAACTTCTCAAATTTAGTCGCATTTATATCATGCAAAAGGTACTTTACCTGAAATACAAATTTGAAGAAATGCATGCATCTTCAAGGAAATGTGAGATATAGATAATACATGGGGTTTCCTTGAACACGGAGAATATACAGTAGTTATCTCATGTTGCAAATGAGGTATATACTACATCTAATATTTTGCTGACAATATTCCTTTTTTTTTTCTTTGGTATTTCATAAACCAACTAATAGTTATGAACTTTTTCTTTATCAAAAGTAACCCACAGATAACTAAATGAACACGAAGGAAAGGAAGAAATTAAGTAACAAAGAAGGCGAAACGGAACAAGGAAAGCCTAGGAAATTGCTGCTACTCTTCCTTACATAATATGCGGGAAAAAATAGGTTACATTGGACAATTGAAAAAAATAAAAGCATGTGTATGTGAAGGGGGGGCCGGAGAGGGGGAGAGAGATGGCGAGGGGAGAACGGGGACAAGTCATAGAAGTTTATAGCGACGCGCAATCACCAAGCTAACCATAACAATCATCCCAATGACTCCCAAAATGCCAAAGAACCACCCGAGCCCTTCCGCCGACTGTCCAGGGACCGGAACATTCATCCCAAACAACCCACAGATCAAATTGAGAGGCACCAAAATCGTCGCCAGGAACGTAATCTTGCTGAGCACTTTGTTCACCCGGTTGCCTAACATGAGGTTCGTCACGCTCAGCTGTGCGAGGTAGTTGGTGTGCGAGCGGCTGAGCATCTTCTCAAAGTGGCCTAGGTTGGACATCATAGTCACGACGTGATCTTGGATGTCGCCGAGGTAGAGCCCGATGTCCCCCCGTGGCGTGACGGAGTACTGCTCGTTGCACCGCTTGGAGAATCCCTTGATGACATCTGCTTTGCCGCCCAGGAGGCGCATGAGGCTCATGACTTTTTTGCGAAGACCGCCGATTTGGGGGAGGAAGACGTTGAAATCCTCGACGCGCGCGATAAAAACTTGGTCTTCTATTACTTCGGATTCGATCTCTACATCGCGGAGGACAGGACCGAAGCTGTCGACGATGTCATCGCTGTTGTTGGCGTAAGAACTTGTCAGTTTCCTTTGTGTTTCTATTTTCTCCTTTAAGCAGGAAGGTGGCTGATGGACTTGTGACTTACATCATTGCGTAGCAAACCCAATCACTGCTAAGAGACACATAGTCGCGCAACTTCGAAATTCTCTTTCGGACATTGCCCGCATGGGGGTTTTCGGTGTATGAGAAGGAGATGATACCCTCGCGGAAAACAACCATATACGTATTGATTGGCTCCAGGAAGTCATCACTGAGTTTATCGATCTGGTAAAAAGTCCGGAAACAGACAAAGTAATACTGCTTGAACAATTCCACCTTCTCACGGGCTTCCTGCATCATGATATCCTCTGCAGTCAAGGGATGGATGGAAAAAGCTCGCGAAATCGCTCCTACTTCATCATTGGTCGGGTCAAGGATGTCCAGCCACCATACGCCACCATCAGGACCTAGCTGGAACAAGTCACGGAAAGTCTCTCCTTCAAGCACGAGGCCACCCAGTTCACATGCGTGGACTGTGTTCTGGTACTCGGATGAAAAGAAGCTGAAGCGATTACGCTCGTTCTCATTATGAAGATTTTTAACTTCTTTCTCATCCACGGTATGGCTGATTTGCTTTTCAAGACTGCCGGCAGTGTCGACCACGGATGCAGGGGTGGACGGTCGCATGACAATTTTGGGGATATCCTTAGCCTCCGACCTAGGTCGTAAATCGTGAAAGGTGCGAGATGGCTTTCTCTGCGCAGTCATGCTAACTTTGCGAGGCACGGCCTGGCTTTTCCTTCTGCTAAGGGCCACGAATTCCTCCAACTCCTCGAAGTCGATGATTGACGTTTTTCCGCTCTCATCGTATGTGGGGAAGCACACATCCGCATCGTCGTTGAGACCAGTTCTCGGATCCACGGTATCTACGCCAATTGCGCTCGTGTTGCTGAAGGTCGGGCGACGTTGATTGGTGCCAGTGGACATGGTCTTCTGGAGAACGATATCCAAGTCCAACGGCGCATGACTCTCCATAGTATTCGCACGTTCACGGCGACGCGGCTCGGCAAATGCTTCGACAGAATTTGGAGGCGAACTGGACTTACCCGATGCCGATGACGCTCGAGACCGAGTCGGGAGGTCATGCACGGTGAGATTAGGTCTCTGGAGGCTCGGTCGAACCGGCGCCATAGGGTTCACAGATGAGCGCCGTCTGTCACCATTGGCACTAAGTTCATCGTCGGCAATCGCATTCTCGAAGTCCCTAGATATTGGTCCCACTTCGAGGTGAAACGTATCATTAACACGGCGTGGCATTGGACTTCCACCTTCTTGCGCTTGGCGTGCCTGCAGCAACTTGTCCTGCCAGCTCAGCACATTGTCAGCGGCGGTGTCCGCCCTAGGGAGAGACTCTGGCTGGAAGCGGTGATCATCAAGCTCTGGGGCAGGAGTGCTGAATCGGGTCCCGCCCTTATCTGATCTTGGCGACTCACTCATGGCGAATGAGTGGAACCACCCTGGGAATATCGATTGAAAAGGCCAGGTTTGTTGATTATCCTCTTTTTCTCCTCGAAATGACTTTCACACGACGTGTGGAGTTTGTTGGGGGGTGAGACGCCCGAAAGCGACCCACTGGGCGTTGACTCTGCCACAACTGGAAGATGGATCTGGCGGGTGGGCGGGGGGGGCGGAAACCACACAGAAGTACGGGAGCCCCAATTTCCTCCTGCCCAGCCCACGGGCAATAGGGCTTGGTTGTTCCGTGTTGCGCTTTATGTAAATATGTATATATGTAGATATATATATATATAATTAGATATATAGATAGGGGTCCTTGATGTGATCAAAAAAGACTAGTTATGGAGGCCGAGTGTCGCCCCCAGAGAAGACCCGGAATTTCGGGCCCAGGAGAGGGTGGATGAAGGAGAAGTTGGTGTAGTTGAGCCCCGCCAACTTGACTGTGGTTGAAGAAGAGGAGTTCAGTGACTCCAGGGTCGCTGGATTGGAAGGTAAGGCAGAGGGGAGAGGGGATCGCTGTTGGCTGACGGCCTCAATGAAGTGAAGACACTGTCTTGAGCGCTGATCTGGAGAGGGAAAACTCGAGGGGAAAGAGACACACAAACACACACACGGCCAGAAGGTGGAAACAGGAAAACTGGATATTGGGTGGTATACGGCCACAGAGCGGGCTGGTCTGAGCGTTGAGGTGGGATCAAGAAGGATGGAGGTTGTAGTTGGATAGGAGGAGGACAGGAGCTGGGGCGAGTTGTCTGAGGTTGAGCAGACTTTTTTCGGGCTTGGCGGCGCTGGAGGTCAGCCCCAAGCGAGTTAGTCATCCGGGCCTAGAATCCGATAAGGTTGCAACCTCCTTACGGCGCACAGCTTTCAGCTCACCACCGTCGCGGGGAGAGTTCGCGACATCGAGAGCAACTTGGATCGTCGCGATGTCTGCCCAGAGAGACATGAACCCCTCCGTGGCCCAATATTCAGATAGATCTCAGCTGCCCGCGCCGAATCCATGTTAACTTACCCCGCCAACCCATCCACCGAATATCTTCATAGTCCATGCATGGCGATCCTTGATTCCGTTCGTCCTATTTTTGCATGCCCTTCAGCATTCCATTCATCACCCCAGTGTGCACTTTGTACCATCCCCATCTCTGACAACCAGAAATGAAATGGGCTTCTCCAGTATCAAGAGATGCAAACCCCACCGGAACATGCAGATTGTAGAAAGACACGAATCTGCTGCAGCTTGTTCACTAAGAATAGATAACTGCTCTGCTCTCCCGCAGCACTTCGTCCCGCCTGTCCCACCAGCCGTCTGCAAAGTTGATAGCATTTGAATGTATGGTTGCAACTACGAACCGTTGAGTAGCCAATCTTTAGGTTTGAATTCGCCATCAACGTCAGGGAGCACTTTTCCCCGCATGAAAAAAAGCCCCTTCTCATTCATTTGTCAATCTTCTTTTCCCCTCATTTTCATTTTCATTTTCATTTCATTTCCTTCTTTCTTTAATTTCATTTCGTTTTTATTTTTCATTTCATTTAATTATTTTTGATGATGCAGATATCGCTAGACGCTTGCATTCTCTCTGTAGCTCTCAAGGTACCACATCCCACGCTACCTCCTTGGTTGAGAATGCAGGGAGCATATAAGACTTCAACTACCGTACCGTTTCGGCATAAAACTGGCATTCGCAGCGTAATCTTGACAAACCTCAGTACCCTCCCCATCGAGGACAGTAATAGCGCTCACATATGCCCATGCCCCTCAGCCTGCTCGTTCTAGACTATTGTCCTAGTCAATCTTATATATTATCTCCAAGCGACTACCCTGAGTACCGTCGTCTTTACTTCCGCTCTGAGGAAGGGAAGGTGGGATTTTAGAGTTTTCCAGCCGCCCGCGGATACCCTGCTGGCTTTCGCGACAAAGGAGTTTTGATGCACGTAATTGCGTAGGTGGAACAGCAATTGACTTTGCAATTGTGTGCTGGTCCAGGGGTCTACCAATTGGTGTTATTTAATGACCTATTGGATGTACTTCTCTTCGGGACTCCCAAGGCACTTTCTTCCCTGTATGCCACATCGCGGGAGAGAGAACAACGCCAACAACCCCCCTGGATGACTACTTCAACCACCCAACTACTTACCTACTTCTCTGCTTCCAGCGTCACCAGCTTCAGTGACTGGCTGAGGTTTTGCGCCGGGGTTGCTAATGCTGGGGGTCAACCAAGACCGTCGTCCAGTCGTTGTTCTCCGTCTCCGTCGCGTTTTGTTTCTCGTGGATTAGGGTTCTCTTATATGTATGTACAGTACATGTACAACATACGGGGCCAGATGAGGAATATCCTCATTACCCCTCCTTTATCGACAGATACCGTCGCATCTTTGATCCTACTAACGTTGCGTATCCCCTTCCCTTGCATGTTCATTTTCTACCCGCATCCAATCTGTATGCCTTTCGCCATCTGTAGGCTGGTGGCGGGTAGCCTCGCTTGCCACCATCCCAAAGCCCCTCGTTTTCCAGAAAAATCAGCGCCAGCGCACAAGGAAATTCCCCCTCTCCCCCGCGCATGATCTAGATGGTTGTTCCTCTGTGCTCCGTTTCCATATGTACTATTACGAGAACTAACCGTCCTGCCCAAAACTATAGTAGTTGCTATGGCAGAGCAAAGGAGTTTTGGCTACTCTGATTTTGGGATATCAACTTCAAATGGTATATCTTAATAAAAATCCCCATATATGCACTGAAATATAAAGTTCTTGTGGGGGGGTTATGTTAGTTAGGTCCGGAGTTTTTCGCAAAGGAAGGTATCAAAACAAGACAAGACGGGCTTCGTGATTACATCCCTTTATTGATTCCCAACGATCGAGGTTTTGCATACCAAATGAAGAATGCTTAGATACATAAATCTCAACAATGATTATATCAAATTTATATATAATATGTAATTTATGTATGCATATCTACATAATAGATTATAGAACTTATAGATATTAAAAATCTATATTATGTGTTGAGTTATAGACTGTATTAGACCTTGATTTTCTTAATACACTACTAGTGCTTCAAATACATCTCATATAAATTTATATAAAGAAATACTTAGAACTTTTTACATATGTAATCTACAATGATCAATGTACTTTTTTATATTATCAATTTTTCATAATAGTTAGATTTGATAGTAGATTATAGATTACCAATAAAAAATTAAATATAATTATAAATGATTGATATATGGAGTGGATGTTGGCATCCCTAGAATGCCACAGGACCACACCTATTTAAGCAGTGCTGCGCCCGCCAGTTACTTACAATGAACCAACCTTCCACCTCCATCTATAGATAATTTTGTCAATTTGTATGGGAAATGATGATCGTTAGAGTGATCATGTTGAGTCCCCATTACATCCCACAAACTTTGAATACGTGTGTTGGAACTGAATAATGTCCGAATATTGACCCAAATACTGAATATCGATAGATAATTGAATTGACTAACTATTCTAACTCTGATAATTACATGATAACTAGGCAGTATTTATAAGGAAGAGAATGCTTGATCACATGAGAGGGGCAGCACTGAGATTCAGCGGGGCAGTGCTCAGGTCTCAGATAGCTTGATATGCGAGATATTATCTCCGACAACGTGCCATTTACTGCCATCAAATAATATCTATTAGTTGCATTTAAATAACATTTGGTGCTGCTGAGTTTCATAAGGTACCATTCTGTCAAAATATTGATGCGTGCCATTTATTGCCATTTATTGCCTGGTGGTACGCAAAGAACATACAAACTTTCTCAAGGATTACTCTGCATGTTATTGGATGTGAGAACAGCCAAATGCACGTCAAGGACATCGAGCTCTCCAGTAACATTCATGCTCCCTGATAATTTCGTGACAAAACCCGTTCACGCGGCGCAGGGACAACAAACTCAATGGCGTAAATCTATCGTGCCGCAGTATAAATGATGCCAACAAACTTGATCAAGGATTTGATCCAGCCCAGATCACTGCGCCAAGAGAGCATTCTTCTTGACCAAGATCCAAGGTAAATAATAACTGTTGCTGTTCCGCGGTCCCTTGATATACTTAGCGATTCAAGCCACCGCTGCATATAAAATCATGTCATGTCGACACTATCAAATGATACGTTCTGCCATACATCTTCACTCCAGGGGTTACGAGGCTTGAGGTTGGTTACTGTAGTGCCCGAAGTCAGGGGCTTTCAGTGACCGTTGAACCCCCAACCCGGGAAATCGTTACAGAAACTGCAAGGTTGGATAGTTCCAACCTCTATCTCCGGTGGTGTTCTAAACCACTCACTGCTTTTAGAAAACCTGACTTCCACCTTTTCATGTCACCCATTCCAATCTTCAGCCCTCCCATAGTTACCTTGCTCGTTTCTACATAGTTCTACCATGCCATCGACACCTTCCAAACGGCAGCGGGCAATTCTGGCCATACCTTTTCTCGGCCTCACGCTGCTCTGTCTTCAGGTGATGGACATTGAAAAAATGGTCGCCCATCAGGAGCCGTTCTTGAGATCTAGGAAGATTAAATGGAGCAACGGGTCCATCCCCATTCTCTCCCATTTTCACTACGCGGAATTCCTCAACGAACTATGGCGCGGGACTACGGTGTCCTTCTCTCCATCGACTCTCGGCTATGATGTCGTGAGCTCATGGCAGATGTTTTCGTTTCTGAATGATCTGGGGTCTGTATATGTTGTGTGGCTTCTGGAGTCAAGCCGCGTGGGTAATGCATGGACACCAGCATATTTGTGGGTCCACATTACTTACTATTTTCCGAGTAACTATCATCGAGAAAATGGGTTGAGTAACGCTAACAAATCGACACCAGCCCGACCATATTTGCTTTTGCGGGTCAGCTTTTGGGCCTCGGGTCCGTTGCGCCGTTGTTCTATTTTCTCTGCTTCACTTTCGGGCCCTCAACCTCGGCTCTCATCCAGCTCCCTTTGAAGAAGAGACTAGCTCCTGAGCACAACGTGACACTACTTCCGATCCTCCTTCTTCTTCATACTTGTGAGGTGTTCGCGGCATACCTGGCTCCCCAGCCTACCACGCGGCATTACTGGACATGGGCGTGGCAAATGAGCCCTCTTTGGGTGGGCATAGCCAACTTCGTGATTTCCAAGTTAATTGGCACTTCTCCCTCTCTCAGAGCCACAACTATCAAGTGGCTTACATCTCCAAAACTTCCACTGAGCCTTATGAGTATCATCTCGGCAGGAGTCTGGGTATACATGCTCGTGAACTGTCCATACCCCTTATCAACAGTCTTCATACCTAGCAGCTCTGCCCAATCTGAATTTGTCCCCCACATGCGACGTGCCCTGCAGTATGACGAGATTGCTGTATTCGGGACTTCTTTCCTATGGCTTGGGTATCTGTTCTTTGATCTCCACTGTGCCGGCCTGATCAGACGAGGAGAATGGCTTGTCCCGGTTGCTGCTCTCCCCATTTTTACTGCCTTTGTTGGCCCAGGTGCTGCCTTCGCATTTGGATGGTACTGGAGGGAGAGCAAGCTACAGTCCAAACTAGCCCAAGAGTGATACACCGCTGTTGTGATGAGCTTTAGGCAGAATGGGCAAAATAAACGCTCTTAGTCTAGTAATGAGAAGGCAGGTAGTTGCTTTGTTGGTGGCTATTTATGTCACCCATTGGTTTTTTATACAATACATAGCCTAGGCCAACAGCAATTTCTGACACATTGAACATGGTCTGCTGTGTTTTCCCCACTCCCCATAAAAGTAAGTAATGAAAGCCAACTCAAACAGATTGAGATGCTGTGTTCACCTTAAGTTTTACGATGTAGATAGCTAACTCGGCTGCATGCAGTCCTTAACTCATGCTTCTACAGTAGATCCTAGGTTTGAAAATTAACTACTGCCTTTTTAATAGACAGAGCGAAGCCAAGTCTCTCGGCATCATACGAAGCTCTTGGGGGGTGGGGGAGGGGGGAACACAAAAGTTGCATCATTTTTGTGGTTGAAATGATTTGAACATCAATGTTTGAAAAAATATGACTTGAATCTCAATGATTTAGAGGAGATTTTTGCAACTCTGATTGGTCTACTCCGTACATACTGAATAATTCCCACTTTTATTTTATGCAGTGAAGACTTGAGTTCAACACTAATTCATAATTGACTTAGATACTTCCCTTCTTACCCCTGAATTATCTACCTTCCTGCCTACCTACCTACCTACCTTTCTATCTATCTGCTCGATATCCAATCAATTGCTAATAGAATAGAGAATGCTAGGTATCTATCTATCTACCTACCTACCTGCTTGACAATCAATCGATTGCTAATGGAATATAAAATTCTAACTACATAACTAGCTATCTATCTACCTCTATCTATCAACCAACCTGCCTGCTCAATATTCAATTAATCTCTATAAGAATAAATATCACCATCTAGCTACTCATCTATCTATCAAAGCTAGCTTACTAGCTGACTACCTGCCCGCTTATCTGCCTATCTATGTACTGACCTGCTTGAATGAATGATATCAACTGATGCTATCTATTGGTTTCATAACAGGAAATGCAGTAACAAGAGTTGCAACCTCAATATCAGATACAGCAATTTGGGTTCTCTATTTTGTTTCCACCATTGTTGATACTGGACCAAGAATCTAAGGGCGTGGATAACTCCATATAATATATTTTAGGTTAGTCGGTAAGTTATGCTTAACTATTAGGCTTAATCAGACAGAGCATGGATGTTCTATCGAACTTATGTCTCGTTACAAAGACTATAGAGCCGCAACACAATGGCAGGAATGTGCGACACGCAGCATCATCTAGCCACTTGGTTACCCAGCTTTGATGGTCACCCGATGGTGATCGTGCCTTAGAGAGAAGATGGATGAAAAGGCTGGATAGAACAGTCATAACTTGGTAAAAACGAACCTGGAGCCCCTCCCTCCCCTATCTTCGAAAACTCAACAACCGAAATTCCCCTCGCCAAAGCTATCTTGCTTTGTACAATACGTATGTCGCTATTTAAGAAGATTGAATTGTCCCCCCCGTATATTCATACTTTACATCAACCCTCCTAATGCCTACAACGGCCATCCTCGCAACACTGCAAAATTATCTCTCGAATCCGCCGTTCATCAGCACAGACAGCCCCATAATCTCAACATTCATCCTAAGTTAACCGCTGTGCTTATCAAACTTTACACCGAAGATCCACTTCAACACGTACCCGGGCCCCTGATCGCCCGTCTTTCACCTCTCTGGTTCTGGAATCTCACCTGGCGCGGTATCGAATGTAGAACCATTACAGCCTTGAAGAGGTGCATTATAGAGAAGAAGAAGCAAAAACAAGATCAATGTTGTCAATCAACAATGTGAGTATTTCCAACACTGTCCTGTTAAGTAACTGGGGAGAGAAAATCGCTTATCAGGATTCTGGGTCGACAAACCCAGGCCCTGTATGCAGATATCCCTATTCAACTTCACGAAGGAAGCATAGACATATAGAAATATCGCGTGGTGCATGGATTTTGAGGGATGCTCTTCGGAGTATTTAGTCATGCATTCCTAAGCACATCCTGTAACTATAACTTACTTTCCATGCCCTGATATTGAGGGACATGGGGGGTTGGTTGCCTGTACTCAAGATGTTTATGAGAAATCCACGTACAGCCCGTGGAAGAGTGATCTCTCCGTATAGTTTCTCTTTATCGATCTATACACCAAAAAAACCAAATACCAGCGAGTTAATTAGCTAGACATAATATTCTATCATGTTTACTCCAATCCGAACCGCCATAACCGGCGGTGGCACGGCAGGCGCCTCCCTCCTGCACGCCTTACTCAAACACCCCCGTCTATGCGTCCGCATCTTGGAGTCCGCCGCCGAATTCAGAGAAGCCGGTGCCGCAGTTGGTGTGGCGCAGAATGAATGGTCTTGCGGCGCTGAGCCTCATCGGTCCCTCAGCAAGCCGATATCTGGTACGTGCCGGCGCAGTCCCGCAGCGCGGGCGCCGCTTCATGCTTGCCCAGCGTGAAGGGTGGAATAGCATAATTGATGAGACGAGGGATGACGATGGCTGGACGCTGAAGGGCAGTGTGCATCGGGCCGCGTTCTTGCGAGAATTGCGAATCTGAAATAGTGACAGGGCTTCTGTTCAGATGCAAATCTCAAGCTGACTTGCAAAGTATGATTTATTACAGTTTAAGAATATAGATATAGATATCCAGAACCGGTGAGGTTTTTATACTTCCCTCCACAGCTAGACAAAATAGGCGAATTGAAAGGATTCGAAGGAAAACAAAGGTGAGAGAGAGACAAAGAAATGAGGGAGAAGAGCAACCAGAGGAACATGCACAAAGGAAATGCCATATCATGGACGTACGCAAGATAGACCCTGGGCTAGAATATGATAGGCGATATCAATGGAGCTCATGGGCCGGAATCAAATATGCTAAGCAAACAATGATCAAACAAGGGGAACCGAAGCAAACGAGGAAGCAATCAAGACGGAAAAAATATGGAATAAATCAGAGCCAAAATTGATATTTAACGTGTTGCACAGATGAAGATTCACACAGATGAGGATTCTAACCAATCGATTTTACAATCTTGCGTCCACCGTCCCAAAACTTATCAATGAATTTTCACCACTCTATGGAGCTAAATATGATCGTAACTTAAATCTTCATCAATGAGATAAATGTCTTTGACACCTAGAGTGCTAATTCCAATCGAAGCCACCCATTCAAGCAACCTGAGCAAAGTTTTTACTCCCACACATCGATATAAGAGAAATCCCACTAAAGCTCTTTGTTTGATACAATCTTTATGAGAATGCCATCAGGCTTGAAACCTGCCTCAACATATTCTGGGGTCACATATGCTGGAGCAGCTACATCTGCAATCTGTGTACCGAAAGAGCCACCATCCGCTTGACACTTGAGGATGCTGTCAGCCTCTGACTTCTTGCCACCGTCGATTGTGTCTGCAATATCAGAAAAGAGGACTGAGGAGTCATATGTCATGTTGATCTTTTTGGCGTAGGCTGCCGCTGTGCCACGTGCATACAGAGCCCATTCTCCACAGTCAGACGCGTCGGCCGCCTTCATGGTGAACACTATTGATAAACAGGTTAGCAGTCTGCTGCGATTGACATCTCTGGCATGCCCGTTGGGCACAATCGTGCCCTAAGTATGTAAATAACAGAATTTATTAGCACATACATCTACCAATTCTAGTCTGCCGGCCGTAGGCGCGCAGATAGCTTGCGATGAAGCTAACGTCTGCTGGGTCGACATTCTGAGGGATGTCGTTCCCTCCTGAGTAGCAATGTAGGTTGGGAGTCTCATCGAAGCAGACAGTGCGGATCCCAGCCTCGAATCCAGGGATGGTAGCCGGCAGTGAAGCGGCACTGGTAGTCATGAGAAGGGCAGCATATTTGAGGACAACTGTGAAAAACATGTTACCGGAAGTTGTTGAATTGTTGATATTGATGAAAGCAAGGTGGGATCAAGGTGATTTGACTTTCAACTCCCATTGAGGTAGCCATCATCAGTCGGGGGTACTTATAGTATATCCACCCGCCAGCTCCCCATACTGGCGTGGGCGAAATTTTGCACGCTAAGTCTTGAATGCAACAGCAATGTCACGTTGAAGAAATTCTCAGGCCCTTGGTCTGTATGAGTAGGGATCTGTAAAAGCCCGTTACTTCACCCATGAAGAGTAATGGATAGTTTGAGTCGTGTAGAATAAACGAAATAGCTCCGAAAAGAAGGATATTATGTCGAAGGATCATCTCGGCCCCCGTTATCAGCAGGCTGGACGTCGAATTCAAGTTTTATAGGCAGGGATACTATGCTGTATAGGATGGGCGAAAAATCTCATCCAGGCACAACTCAGTAATCCCAAATGACAGGCGAGTCGGGAGAAGTCTCTGATAAATGGGCCATTTCGCAGGCCAAGTTCCTGAGGCTGTAGTTTGTTCCAAAAGGTCAATTACTTTCTCCCACGTAGGAGCTGCCAATCACCAAAGATTCAAAAGATCTTTCCATATTATTTGTATGGTAGACTCTTGGAAGTAATGCTGCGCGATAACCACGGAACTCGGTATGGGAGCCGATCAGCAGGCAAGAATCACAAGCTACCTAGCTTAGATAGTGTTGGGGGTCTGGATTGGTTCGTCCCCTCTTCTACCAGCATGGCGCTGGTGTGAGAGAGATCTTTTGCCTTAGTGGCCTAACAGATAGTTTGTAACCATCTTACTTCATTCTATTCTCAGACTTACATGCATGTACATGTACAGATGTAAAGCCTCTCGCCCTAAACTGTGAGCGCTCGGGAGGTGAGTTCCTCGTACTCATCCCAGAGTTGGCAACTGAAGTTGCCGAACTTCATCGACTGGGAAGAGCAAAGGCGGGTGGATAGCTGAATATCAGCAGTTGAGTCTCCTCACGATGCATAGTGAGATTGTTCAATGCGCTATGTAACTGCAACCTGTCAGTGAACTTTCTTCTTTTGATCTCTTCACTCCTTAGCCTCATTTGTTAGACAAAGCCACTGAACCATCCCGAATATCTGCTGCTGATTCTTCCACGGGACTTTGTGACCACAGATGTAGTAGTTTCAATGATTCAGTACATACATGCTTTGGGAGAGGAAAAGGCATCAGAATCAATAGATTCATTCTATGGATAGTATCATGCAAATGCTTTCACAGTCAATCCTGATGGCCTTGAATTCTGCAGAGCTTGCTTAACCAATTTCGAGACTGCATATCAACCTGGAACTGACCCGTGCCAAGAAAAGTAATGTGACTTTGCAATTTCTCTCACTAGTCAAAGGCTCAGTTGAACGCTGTGTTTTATATTTTATACAATATTGCAATTTATAAATAAATATTAATTATAACCTTGTATTATATTGTGTTTTATCCTATAGAAGTATTCAACTCAGCTCACCCTTTTTTTATGGGCCAGGTCAGGTCAGACTGGGCCCCTCACTCACTATTGAAGTCGGCTCGGATGTGCTAATTCTCACTTTTCTTATGGGCGTTTCAAGTACTGAATACTCTGTAGATAAAGTGGGGTTGTGGGGGGTGGAGGGGAGGAACCTGCAGAATAACCCAGTGAATCATGTCAAGTAGTTACTTCCGCTCGAGATTCACCACCGCTTCGCTCACTTAACTATCTATATGCTTGTTTCTGAGAAAATTGATGGAGATAAAAAGTTGATTTGCTATAACTACCTAATGATTGCAATACTATTTAAATAGATATAAATTATATAATTTTCTAATGAGTGATAGTTAGAGATGTCAACAAAATTAAAGAATAAAATTTAAACACTTTTTGTTGGGCAGCGGTTGACCGAGCGGCCCGGACGTGATGAACCCCACACCCACAGTCAATGCTGGAGGGATTGGATGGGGTGATTCGTCTTTTGCCCCGGCGGCCTAATGGTTAGTTAGCTTCGGCAACACCCATACTGTTAAGGTTAGCTCGTTGTAAATTTGTAACTATCTAGCGGGTGCAGCACTGCTTAAACCGGTGGTCATGGCATCAACTAACCTTCCACCTCCATCCGATTATGGACCCTTTGGTGCTTCAGTGCCATCAAATGCTTAAAAGGATTTAGCCTAGAGGTTGATTCCGTGTTCTCTACAATAGCGGTGATGATTATTGTTGGTTTTGGAGCAGATTAAGTGCCTTGAAGAGGCCAGCTATCTTCTAAGTTGTTTTTTTGCAATGATGATGCATGCAATGCCCCTGGTAGGCTTACTGCCTCTCATATTGCACCACCCTCTTTACCGCGTTGCCTGCATAAGTTGCAGGCAACAAGGTCAAAGCGTGACTTCTAGTTGAAGGGGTGTTTACCTCAAATATCAACAGAAGCCATCCATCGAACGTGATCAATCATCCTCACCATCATCCTTCATCTAACATACGCGGTCGATCCCCTCTCTATTCCATATTATCATCCTATCAACTGCCAAGAGCCTACCCTACCCTCTATCTATGAAGTTTGCCGCAAATCCTTCGAAAAGAATAGACTAAGCTACATGTGGATGGGGAAGGAACAATGGTTTTCCGAGGTTTTAGGCTTAAAAAGCAGGATATTGTAGAATGTTTTCAGTGAGGATAGGGACAAGATAGATGAACATGATGATGATAGTTGAAAGTAGTTAGGGGATAAAGGAATAATTTCAATGAAGGAATGGGAGTGGGCATGGGGTTTGATGGGATAACTAAGATTTGTATATAATGTCTAGGCTAGCTAAATATATGGCGTTTGGGGCTTCGTGGCAAGGACTTGAGATGGTTACAATGAACCAACCTTGCGCCTCCATCAAGAGTGAAATGAAGGATATTATTATATAGCTTTACTACAACTTACGGCGTATTATATATTTGAAATTTAATCTTTATCAAGTTATTAAGAGCTAAAAGAAGTCCTTCTTCTTGATAAAAATTGATGGATTTGATCAAGAGACACATGAACTTATTAGCAGCACCCATCAGCAGAGCCTATCAACTAGATATCCTTCTAAATGACCGACAATAATTAGTATATATTACATCTATATAAGGAAAGAATAGTTGATCACAATGTCACAGATCTCAAAAGAAGATAGGAAAGAAGCTAAACTGTTCCCGGTTAGCAAAGTTGATTTTCCATTTCTACCCAGGTTCAACTTTTTGTAAGCCACATTCACATTCAACTTGAGCTCGGAGTCTTGCGGGGTGACCAACCTGTTACATTTCCTTGAAGCACGCGAGCTCTAGAAGAACACTGCTACTTTCCTTCGGCACTAAATCATCCACCAGCAGTTACTCATCTATTTCGACCAACGTGGGTCGCCCGCCAAAGGTGCCAGCAACAACCGGCAAGAGCTTTCCATTTTGCTTGACTGTACCCCCCAACTTTGAGACGCTAGCAACATATATCAACGCCAGCCTTGCTCCCTCTTTATACCTTCAGCTTATATATAATATTAGCAGTAGGGAGAAGAGAGGTATCCGAGTCTCCCCAACCATGGCAGACGTTGAAATGAAAGATTCTGCGCGTGGTGCTTCTGGGAAATCGAAAGCTGTCGCTAGAGGAGGAAAATCAGCTCTTGGGGATGCCAAAGGAGATGCAAAGAAACGTTTTGAAGTGAAAAAAGTATGTTTCATGGATTGACTTGGCCCTCAGGATATGTTTTGTTCCGTTTTCCCGATTAAAATTGCTAAGAGTTTGATTCCCCGTGATAGTGGAATGCAGTCGCGCTGTGGGCGTGGGATATCGTCGTGGATAACTGTGCCATTTGCAGAAACCATATCATGGATCTATGTGAGTTCTCGGGGATGTCGAAAAGGAGCCAGATATTATGTTCGGCGGATGCTTGAGGGATGGGAACGGGATATCATGGCTGACTGCCCTTGCGCTATGTCTGCAGGTATCGAATGTCAGGCAAACCAAGGCTCGTCCACGACGGAGGAATGCACAGTTGCTTGGGGGATTTGTAACGTGAGTTATAGTTCCCTTTTGTTATTTTTTTATAAACTGCCTGTTCTCTTTACAAGGCTAACCAAAAATACTCTATCGATAACCTATATGGCTTATAGCATGCATTCCACTTCCACTGCATCTCCAGATGGTTGAGAACACGACAAGTATGCCCGTTGGACAACAGAGACTGGGAGTTTCAGAAATACGGACGATAGAGCTACAATTGTATTACCAAATATCACAACGAAACCGAACCGGGACCCGATTCCCTCATTGTTTCTTGGGGGACTACATTTCTTTCTCAGCCCACCGATTCTCACGCCGAAATGAAACTGTTGGATAGGGAATGCTATCCGAAGGGTTAATCCGAGACCCAAGCTATTTAGATCGTAGATGCTAAGTTTGGACGGGGGAGGGTCAGAACAGTAGCTACGCTGCGGCGTCACGACACCATGTTAATGAAGCTTGAAGGCCTTGAGTTTTTCTTTCGCCTATTTATTGAAACCCATGGGAAATACCCCAATCGCTAAAAACACAGAATACGAAATAAAGCCAAAGTACACACGTTTTCATTCCCATCCCTCCCCCATGCGGGTTCTCCCACAAACAAACAAACCATTCATCACCGTTTCGCCCCATCCACCACAATCCCAGTCGTCCCCACACCCCCAGCTCCGGAAATCAACCACGGTTCTGGATGCTTATTATACATCGGCCAGGGCGGAACAACCACGAGCACCGCAACGAGTATCCCCACCAACCCGATCCAGACGGATAAGTGTACATCCTCATAGGCGTAGCCAACAGTGAAAGCGATAACCTGTGTGGTTGTTTCAGCAACGCCGGGTGGGGGCTGTTAGTCCGTGCTTAGTTATTCTTATAAATGGAGAGTCCGACGCAGCCGCAAGAGTGAGGTAGGTGAGCGGATGGGGAGGAAGGGGACCTACGGAGAAGATGCTGAGGATGCCGTTATTAAGGTTCTCGGCGAAGCGTTGGCCGTGGAAGTCCTGTAATTGATTGTGAAGGGTAATTAGCTCTCTGCCTTCCGGCTCATCAAGGGCCCACACTGTCATATCATGTCGTCAATATTCCGTGCACAGCATGTGATTGGCACAATTGCTTCTATCTCTATATCGGCAGGCCGGTCCAGCAAAAGTGTCCTTTGCGGGGAGAGATTTGGTGAAGGGTGACGAAGAGGGGAAGGAAGGGAGTAAAATCCGGGGGAGATAAATTTGCACGTACTATTTGAGCCTCGAAGAGGTCTTGGAGGGGAGCGAGGATGTCATCCATACTGGAAGCCTACGTGCTTGTACCGCAATGGTCGCTGTTGATATCACAGTGGTTTCATTGATGTTCTGCGGCTCGGCCAAGTATGCGCAAACGGGAAGCTATTGCGATCTAACGTCATTTAGACTAGTCTCCAAAACTATCTCAACCTTCAAATGTTCGTTACCAGAGTCGAAAAGGCCATTCCTCGCGAACTCCCAAAGCTAATTTCTCTAGGTTGAGTTCAACTTGAGTCCAGATTCAACTGGGCTGTCTGTCTATTCTAGCGACGTTTTTCAAAGGCAAAAACCGAGTTTCGTGTGGATCTGCATATGTTCGACGAGTGTTGGCTGTGCGTTTGCACTCTGAACCGTTCGACATTAATCCTTTTGTATATGTATGTACAGTACTTATGAATACATTTTTCAACTTCTTTTTATGATTTTGAGATCCTTACCTCTTTAACTCCGACATGTTGGGTGCTGGAAAGCGGATCAAATTTTAATCGATACCTGGTATTTCAAATTTTTTTCAACGGCTATAGCGGATATATAACGGCGTATGAACTTTCTATAGAAAAGGTATATCACCACGATCCTTTGCAATGTGAATCTGAAATGTTATGTTTGGTGCCGTTATCGCGATGGAAAGATGTGTTGCAGCGATATAACTATAGGTATCGCCCTGTCTCAAGTCAAGACACCAAGTTACAAACAAATGACTGTTACATCATCTTCCGTCTCTGCTTCAATTACGCGGGACTGCAGACTCAGATACAACTCATCCACTGTCCCTCGAATATCAGGTTGTCAACAAGGTCGAGCAATGGAAGCTCACTGCCCTCAGCAACATTCAAGTAGCGAAAAAGGCACCCCCTCAGCGATATAGACGGCGCTATGGATGACACTGGCAATGCCCGCAAATTACTGGCTTTCTCTTGGCTCCGATCTGCGCTGCTCTTTATTTATCAGCTCTGATGTATGGACTTGATACCACTATTGCAGCAGACAGATCCTCTGCACGTCATTCAGATTCAGATTTTCCGCGACGTCGATCAACTCGCTTGGATTGGTCCTGGGTTCCCTCTCGGATCAGTTGTTGTCATCCTTCCCTAAAGTTTCCTCTTCACATTTTTCTTCAACATGAAGTGGCTCTATATTGCAGCTATTGTATTGTTTCAGGCCGGGTCCGCTCTTTGCGGTAGTGCTCCGAGTGTGTGTGTCTTTACTGTCGGGTATGTGATTGGCGGAGCGTGAGGTATCTATCTGGGAGCTTTAAACTACTTCTCTGCGATGACAACCAGACAGGAGCTTGCGCGTATCTCTCCGGAACTGGTTTTGTTTGGGATTGGGCGCGCTTCTGGGACCTGGGGTTGGAGATGGATTCCCAGATTTTTCTGTCGTCTTTTTTATTTTTACATCAATCCTATCATCAGTGCAATCACAGGCCCTGTCTATTTGTTTTGCCTTCCAGCAGTTCATCCAGACCCCAGGAAGTCTCTCAACGATCGACTGGTTAACTTGAACTATCTCGGATTTATCCTGAGTGCAAGAATGCGGGACTTTCACTATGGGATTATCTTCGCCGGCAACTTGTGGCAGTGGAGCGATAGTTGTGCTATTTTTGATGGTAGTACTCTATCTATGGTGTCCTCCTTGCTCTTTATGGACTGCAACAAGCCTATTGCACCCTCACATCTCCCGAGACCAGGTCGCTCCCCGCCATCCACCCAGGTCCCAAACACATATCCTATGTCGCACCATCACCACCTGCACCAATACATGTGAGTTCTTCATCATGTTCTATATCCCTATCTACTTCCAGTTCACAAGAAACGGTATATCGCTCATGGCCACGCTGCGACTACTTCTCTACCTCATGTTCGCCATCACTTTCAACCTCACCAGCGGTTGGGCCCTCTCCATGATCAAGTACCAAATGCCAATGTGTTTGGTGTGGGGCATTGCTATAACTTTTGCTGATGCATTGTTTGTGGCTTATCCCTCACCGTCGACACCAACCGCACATATCTATGGCTTCGGTATTCTCATGGGAATCGGAGCTGGAATTACCCTGTAGCTGGGGTGCTCAATCAGCAGTTTGAAGGTTACATCAATTGACATCCTCAACACCATCAACCTGCAGAATGTCGCGCAGATAGGTTTTACATTCATATGCATTGTCCTTGCAATCCAGGTGTTTCAACCAACCACCGTCCGCAATTTGAATTACGTTTTGAACAGCCAGGGTTTCAGCCAGGTGGTAATTCATAACACTCTTGCGGAGCGCGGAACATGCAGTTCTACTGACTGAACAGTGAACCACGCACTGAGGCAATTCGTGCCGAGCATTCACTATTTTGTTTGTGGCGGGAGGACTAAGTGTTTTCGGCTGTTTGTTGCTGAGACCGGAAAGAATGCTTGGGTAGATTTTTTTTTTTTTTTTTTTTTTTTTTTTTTGACGGGACGATATAGAACAAGACGCAGCGCAACCTCTGACCGTGATAATTAAACGGATCGAAGCGAAGTTTAATTAAAATCGTTTTTACAGTGGGTAAATTTTTCGTTCAAATTAGAGTTTCTTACGGAGTAGATTAGCTCAGATACATCCTATTCTTACCCCTGAATTATCTGCCAACATGCCAGCCTGCCTACCTACCTACGATCTCGATATCCCATCGATTGCTAATGGAATAGGGAATCCCCGCTAGAGAGCTAGCTACCTATATACATCCCTACCTATCAACCAGCCTTCCTACTCAATATCCAATCAATCTCTATGTGAATAAATATCGCCATCTAGCTACCAACCTATCTATCAATACTAGTTTACTAGCTGACTATCTGCCTATCTCTCTGCTGACCTGCTTGAATGAATGACATCCACTCATGATATCTATTGATGATATCTAACGATGCTCCGTTTTATAACTGCAAGTTCAAATTGCGGTACACTTATTAAGGGGTCTCAAGGGATTTCCCCCTGAATAACTATATATATTCTTTAAATATCATCATCAAATTCAACTATTGTAGATGTAAATTCACTCTGTTTTAAAATATACTTAACAAATCTGAGTTGCATTGCTTTCTAGTAACCAGCCGCGTAATGAACTGATTCGTTGCGGCATAGGTATCACAATGCCCAAGTTAGCCATTACGAATCATCCCCCCAAAGTGAGCCAGGGGAGGTTAGACAAGAGAGGTTGGAATAGGCTTCTATAAGATATTGCTAGCGCAACTACCTCGACGCCATCCAAGCCACCAGCAGGCGTTTATCGTGACTACGGCTGTTGATCCAACTATTTCCAGCGTTCTTCGACATTATCATCTCTTATATAACATGGGCCTTTTGCCCACGCTGCCACCATGATCATACAACCAGGAATGAAAGGGTCGTATCCAAACGTGCCGCCCATGCTACATACCCAAGCAGAAAGTGTGTAAACCTGCTAGTGTTGATTAGATTTTTTAGTGTGACAGGTAGTATCCATGCAATCGTTACACTCCAGAACTACTCCAACCGTGAATGAGCCTGAAGGCCACCGTTCCAGCCAGAGCAGCGTCGTAGCTAAGTCCTATGGCTATTTTGAAGACAGCAATTCTATCACAACAGCCCTGCTGCGGAATCTAAATTTGTTGTTTCTCATTCCTGTTTGATTCTCCGCCGGATGATTTGTTAATTGGTATTCGATACGTGAATCCTTACCATCGATTTCGGATGCGGTCTGATATCAGCTTGGGTGTATGCCGGACCGCCGGATTCTTGATTTCCTTGTGCAGTACTTCATCGATGAGCTGGCTTGGTAAAGTTGAAAGGTTGGTGGGGATTCGATTCTTTGAATATTGCTCAAGTCTGTGATTCTAATCTGCAACTCTCTCCTTTATGTGATGGGTCGAGGATGAAACACGTTGTTATACCACTGGGACAAAAGAGCTCGATCACTACCAGCACTGTGCTGGTAGTAGAGCGGATAAACCACCCAATCCAACCCCCCAACAATGTTGCTGTCATGTCATATCTTGCATGAAGCTAAACGGCTTCTAAGCAAGGTTTCCCGTACTTACTGACACCCCTCCACCCACCCAACATATAGTTGTTTTGATCAATCAAATTCCTCAGAAAACAGTTCTAGGCTTTTAATTCAATTAGCTTGATTCAGCCCATATATGAGGCACCATTCATGGCCATCGTTGTGAGGAAACTGGGTGAATACCAACAACAAAGAGAATAGGAAGTCTCGCCGCAATGCCAGAAGATGCGAAACTGGCTTTTTGTGTTGTACACGAATTCGGGGTTATAATACTCAATTAAAGACGATTATTCTGTAGGCTAGGCGCTCTCCTGTGCTCATGCAGGGGACTGGCATGCCGGAAGCACTGAGTCCAACGCACCAGCATAGAACACAATTATAAATACAGCAGTTTTTCCGTCCAAAGTAGATCGCTGCTTGGTTTTCTTCTATTCCCGAAGCCTTGCAATCACAAAGTTATTACCCATCTAAGGCTGGTAGTGCGAGGCTGAACACCGATTGAACCGTCTCTCTCTGCTACGTGGAAAGGTATGTTCTCTTCACAGAAACATGCTTTGTATCCAGTTAACCCTATGCATCAACAGTATCACGATGCAGAAAACACTTACAAGTGCTGTCAGCAAGGCCCTCGAAGGAAATTCCTGGAAAAAATTCACGAACCCAACCGCTGGGCGTGGGAGGACGGTTTTCCCGAAGGCTCAAGCGGCGCAAGAACGGCTCGGAGTCCGATGGGACTATGATGGGGAGGTTACAAAAGAGGATGGGACTTATCACAAGTTCCAAATGCAACCGAACGCTGGAAAAGTCCCGTCTTCCATCAAAAGATGGAGAGAAGGTCATGGTGGAACCCACGCTGTCATGGCAACTGCCCTGGTTAAAAAGGATGGGTCGAAGGAAGATGCCGAGAAGGGGTTGAACGAAGCAGCAGAGTCAGTCCAGACCTGAAGGGTTCATTTGAATCTATGGTTTGGTTCCTCCAAGTGCCAGGTTACGAAAAATGTTGGAAAATGAATGAAGCAGGGGCACTTTTTGTTTTTGTAGATTTGGGCGTAAGGTTAGGAGCTTGTCCGGATAATGATAGTAAATGCAGCAAACTCTTTTAGGTTGTCTCTGCAGAGGTCAATAATGATGTACCTCAGTTCCCTCAACCACCTCTGTTAGATTTTAAGGTATTAAGATGTTAATTCTTCTTTTAGCATGTTGGTAAAAAGTTCATGGCCACACCGCCTTACAATGAAACATTGCGGAAACTATCAAATTGGGTTAGTGTTTCAGAATTCTGCGTTCTGTTATTCTTGGCTTCCTCAGACACTGTCGATCAAAGACCCAGGGGCGCTTATTAAAACCCTGCCTTTCATCTCCCACTGCCTTTTCGCTTCATCCGGCCATGGCTAAGCGTTTAGATGGCATAATATTTTCTGCTCTTCTTCAGTTACGCCCCGCCCCCAACAAGACAAACTTAGCACTCGCGCGTGGTTTTTCGTCAATCCAAAAGATGGCTGAACCTTGTGACTTGTTCGAGTACACAACCGGACGATGGATGTATGTTGCGGGCTAGCGCCTCCATCCTGCTGAACTGTTTGACTGATGTACAACTCTAGCTACAATGACGCGTTAAGACGCCGCGAGAGGAGACGTATTTTCAATGTCTCTGAACTGAAGCGCCTTGCTGCCCTAGCGATTCAGCAAAAAGAAGGTGACGTCGCCGGTTTCGAAAAGCTTGCCGAAGGAGGATTCAACCGAAGTTTTAAGATCACCATGCGAAACGGCTTCCAATTTGTTGCGCGAATTCCTTACCCTGTTACCGAACCAAAATTCCTGGTGGTCGCAAGTGAAGTCGCGACGATAGATTTTCTCCGTTCTCATGGCATTCCAGTTCCTAAGATTTTAGGTTACTCTACCAGTGCAGATAATTCTGCAGGTACAGAATACATCTTCATGGAACTTGTCCAAGGGCAAAATCTAGGTGATATATGGTATACCTTGTCTGAGCAGGAGAGGATAACGCTTGTCACAAAGCTTGTGCAGTTGGAGTCTCGCCTATTTGGTTTACAGTTCCCAGCAAGTGGAAGTCTCTATTACTTCGATGATTTACCAGCCCACGACCACCCAGTCATTGTTCCAAGCCCTAGCTCGACCCGCCGCTTCTGTATCGGCCCCGATACTTCACCCGGATTATGGTATGGGAAAAGACTCGACTTATCGGTTGAGCGCGGACCATGTGCGTATCCGTCAGATTGGAACATCTAAATACAGAAGACGTTAATAGTTAACTCTAGGAAGACAGAGATTCTTTAGCGGTTCTCACTGCCGGAGCCACGAAAGAGATTGCGTATCTCAAAAAGTTTGGACGAGCTCTTCAGCCATTTCAGCGTCTCCGCAGAGAGATGTACAATTACAAGGTCCAATCCCACCTCGAACATATTGTGAATCTGGAGAAATACCTGCAAATTGCGCCTCACCTTATACCGCGTGATTGTCCTGCTCTTCATCGTCCGGTCATACGACATCCCGATCTTCAACCCAACAACATATTTGTTTCCAATGAGCTAGAAATCAAAGGGTTAATCGATTGGCAGCATAGTGCGGTTCTTCCACTATTTCTGCAATGTGGTATTCCACAAAGTCTTCAGAATTATGGCGACGAGGTCTCGGAATCACTGCAAACCCCTCATTTACCAAGCAATTTCGATGAACTAAAAAGGATAGAGCAGTTCCAGCATGCAGAAATTTTCCGCAAGCGTCAACTTCACTATTTCTACGTCAAATTAACCGCGGATAACAATTCTGAGCATTACGATGCCTTGACCTATCATTTCAGCGCGTTAAGGCGGCGAATTTTTCAGCATGCCAGTGACCCTTGGGAGGGTGACAATGTGACCTTGAAGGCTGATTTAGTTGCACTATCGAGAAATTGGAGAAAAGTAGACCGGGGTGCAAGAACACCTTGCCCAATCTTCTTTTCAGATGACGAGTTGAGCGAATGTTTGCGACTAGAACGTGAACAATCAGAAGCTGATGAACAATTTCAGGCTTGCCAAGAAGCAATTGGAGTTGGAAGTGAGGGATGGGTGCCTGTTACACACTACGATGAAGCAAAAGAACGTGAGCAAAAATTAAAAGCAGATGCTCTTGATGCAGCTGAAACAGAGGAGGAAAGAGTCAAAATTCAAGAAAATTGGATTTTTGATGACTTTTGTGAGGAGGATTACATGTGAAAAATAAAATAACTAGTCTATGTGGGACCTTCACATCTCTTGGAATGGCTAACAGTGAGCAAAAAACCAGTCACAGAAATCTTTTATTTTGAAGGGGTTTTTCTGGGTGTAGATGTTTCAATGTCATTTCAAATATTAATTATGCGCAGCTCTGTGATTATATTATGAATATAATCTTTGATAGTAATTTGCTTGTAAATCTTAACACCTTGCTCATTGATTAAAGACTACATACATTATCTATAAACAATGATGTTACAGAGAATACATTTATATATAATCAATTTTTTATAAACTATAATAAAATTTAAGTTTGATATTTTACAGTGAGAATTACTGTGTAGTATTATAAACAAAAGTACAGTCTTTACAACTAATATATTCTTTTTCTATAAAACCGAGTTTTTGATTCTTCGATGAAGTATTGATAGCTAGTGACATAAGCAAGACAGAAAGGCTCCGGAAAATCTATATCTCCTGACTGTTCAAAGCCTGCGCCACTTTCCATGGAGCTTCTCACCAAGCTCTCCGATCATGAACAACGCAACGCCTCGTCCTGCCTCGTCTTCAACCTCATCGACTTGCATCCATATCTTCCACCGTCTTCTGCCCTTCTCAAATATCAGTTACTATTATATTCCTCATTTATTTCCACCACTTATGCGCGTTCTTCTTAAATTATGAATATGCTTCAGGCATCTGTTTCCCTCTCCTCCACTCAGTCATTCCCTTCAGCTACTCATCGACCCGGATACGCAGCGCCATCATCGCCTCTAAAGAAACGCCCTCGAGAAGCTATCTTTGTTCCCTCGCATTCGTGACTGCCTCTGACTCTCGTACTCGTTTGATCGATAGCTTGATTCCCAGAAAATAGACCTGCTTTCGATTCCTTCGTCTTGGTGTTCCACTTTGTATCATTCTGCATCATTTAGCCCATCGGCTCTTCTTGCGGATCTTATTTTGGCTTCGTCTTTCACGTTTATATTTCCTTATTATCTCTACATCCAGGCTGCCTATTTATTAAGCCATATTATTGAGTCCTAATGTCGACTCCGATCCCTACTACCCCAAAGGGTCCTCGCAACCCTCGCCGGAATCGAAAAAACTCCAAGGCGGGCACCCCCGCCGATAATGCATTCCGCAGCGGACCCTCAAACCGAAAGCTCAAACACTTCACTCCTACCCCTTCTCGTTCCAGCCCACCAAGTCCCAGTCCTGGAGAAGCTTCCAATACCACTGCTTCTGATGGCGCATCACAAAAGAAGAAAGTGAGGCCTGGGAAGAAGAATAATGCTCAGTCCTCAAACCCTTCCCCAATGACCAACTGCTCATCCTTGGGCCACGGCCACTCAGCATCACAACCCAACATATCATCCACCCTCAAAGATGGCACGCATTATGCTGGTCCAACATTCCATGCGTCTCCTGCCCCCTCTGCTTTGCCTATTCCAACTTTCTTCTCAAAATCTGTTCCTGATCAGGAAGTTGCGGAATCGCCAGATGGCGAGTCGCGAGAGATATACCCCATAGGCTCTTTCGATCACACACCTACAAAACCGAGGGCCACGGTTGCTCTTTCAAAAAGCACAGACGAGATTCCGTCACCTTTGGATTTTCTTTTCAAATCTGCAAAGGGGGCGAAAGTTGCGAGTAGACCTGTCAACAGCGAGACACAATCCGTGAAACCCTCACCGTCACAGCCAAATCTCCCGAGTCAGGCAAAGGCGACCCCACGGGAAATAACTCCTGGTGCTATTTTCCCACTTGAGTTGGAATCCCCTGACAATCGCAAGATGGCGATTGGGCCGTCATTTGCTACTCCCTACAAGGACAGGATTAATGCTCTTCGTTCAGCCAGCTTCCCTTCACGAGCTAACGACAACGTGCCTCTTGACGAAGGGCAGAGGAAAGCCAAAACCGACGCGTTGAAGGATCTGCTACTAAATCCACGACCCCAACGCCCGTCCTCTGCATCGCCCAAGGCGCCTAACGACTCAAACATCTTCGGTTCAAGAAGTTCCACGCCACTCGCTCGACACTCCTCCGGTCCGCCAACCCCAGTTCCTTCGGAGGAGCCTAAAGGTTCCCTAAAAGGTCGCAGTCCGGATAATGGTAGTATTGCACATCAATACCTATCGTCCGTTTGTAATGGCACTCAATCGTCTCGAACTCCGTCGTCTAATCTTCGTCGGGAGCTTTCTTCTACAAGTTCTATCGACAGCCCACTTTTGTCGACTAATGGTAGCCAAGAGAATCCCAAGCGTTCTCAAACATATGTCAACCTCACGTCACCCACTCCAAACAGAGTCAATCCCCACTTGAATCCAGCTGTTCCTTCTCCTCGTTCTGGCTATACGCCTTCTAAACCCCTTGACGCGAAACAGATGGAGGCTGACTTACGCCGCATCCTGAAGCTCGATTCCAACCATAGTCGAGGCTAGCTTAGTGATGGGGCTTAGCTGGAGTATCTCACTAGAGTGTTTCTTCTTCGATAATTCACCAAACTCATATTTTCCTCGTGCCGCATCGTTTTCTCGACTCCGCTTTGTTCGGCTCCTTGTTATACTCCGCGTTGATAACCACTAATGTTGAGACAACCTCGCTTTCGCTATGGTTATGGGTTCTCTTTTACACCTTTTCTTCCATAATTTTTATGAGCTGGTCCAGTTGTTACTCGTATCGTCGCGCCATTCCCAGGAGCGTTAAACTTACAAGGCTTCGGTTTCTTTTTCTTTCTTTTTTATTTCCCCTTCGTCCTTTCTTGTTTCCTTTGCGTACTGCTTGTTTTATATCTTCACTCATCTTTTTTGGTTTCATGGCCCCTGGTGAGATGTATCGACATGATTATATGACTGGTTGGCTTGGAGCATATGAGTTGCAAGATGTCCGTTTTGTGTCCGGCTCTTTTCCTTTACGTTGCCTCCTTTTCTTATTCCCCTTTCGCTTTCCGTTTGCACGGCGTCTAGAGGGCATATGGAGGGATGCCATGGAAGGGAGTTTTTTCTTTTTTTTAGACAGGAAAAATTAGGATGCTGGGAGTAGGAATACTGCGAGGGCCAGGGATTTGTTTACTGGTTTCATGTTATTGGCCAGGCTTGCCTGGGACGGCTCCCCGTTTCCACGCGCATACCAGAACCATTGTCTGTGATGTGAAAGCTTTGCTTTCTTTCTTTCTTTTCTATTTTTCATGTCCCTAGCACCATATTTCCAAGTGCTTGGGATGGCTTTTCCTGTTCTTTTCCCCCCGCCTCCTCGTCCTGCAACCCTTTCCCCTCTTCATATTCACAGTTCCAGCGTACGGCTGCTAAATACAAACGGCCATGCTTCCACCTGTTGTTTGCCTTGATAACTCATCACACTCACACCTGTTTCGATTTCCTTGTATTCTTTTTCTCCCATTTTCAATTCTGCTACTTTCCTTTTTTTTTTTTTTTTTTTTTTGATTTTGCTTCCCACCCCCAAGTCACTCATTTTGATATTTTCTCTCAAACTTTTTTTTTTCGTTTCCCTTCTGTGAGCAGTGATTTTCTTTGGTCTGTTTCTCTGCCACTTCCCTCCTTTAATTTTTATGTTTCTATGTTTAATTATCATTCTACCAGTCAATCACTTTCATCCATTTATTCATTCATTCAGTCATTCATTCCTTTTTTTCTTCTGGAAGGCTGACTAGCATTTGTGCGTATGTGTGTTTACCATGTTGTAGTTTGCTTTACCTTCAAAGTTCACAACCTTGGAAGTGATAAGCTGTTTTAGCTAGCTCAGTCATGATGCCATCAAATCAAATGCACACTCTTTTTCACCATCCCTGAGCTGATTTTGATTATTCTTCATTCATTTCAATTTTTTTTTTTTCATTTAAGTAAATAAAACCATAGGAAATTGCTACCTTCGTGAGACATAAAAACCTATGTCTGTGATACAGATCAACTGCTACTATTTCTTGATGACAATACTCGGGTTTATTCCTGAAAATCAGGGCAAGAAGAATCAATCAGATGTATTTAAGTTTATTTATTTACCATTATTATTATTACTATTTTTTTTATTTTGTATTTTACTTTTTTTTCTACTTTTCTACGCTGTATATATGTGAAATAATCATTGATTGGCTTCCCCACATCTCTCCACATCTTCTTTCTCTTTTCCGTGGTAAAAAGTTTCCCTTGCTGCTTGCATCGTTCGCCCCCTGCGCGCCTCCTCGCGATTTTTAGGGCGTTAGGGCGTTTCTCGCCAGCCGCTACCAGGGCACCACGACCAGGTCCCCCCGGCAGCGGCGTGCAAAACCTGCATATTGGGGGCGTTTTCGCCACACAACAAGAATAAAATGATTCGAGTCAAATATGTGTTGGCAGTGCGGGAGTGTGGCCCTGCTTCACGCAATACACCTTGCTCTCTCGGTGGGCAGATCGTTGCGGATCGAGGAATATAGCGGCCGGAGGGGGCGTGCGGTGGCGGTGATCCACTCCCGCGTTGGCATGCTAGGAAGAGAACGAGAGTGATTTGGTCATTCTTAGTTGGTGATAGACAAATAGACAAATTTAAAAAAATAAAAATAAAAATTATGTAGAAGAAAGAAAATGGGGCTTTGGATTTATGACACACACCAACTCTGTGCAAGCGCCGAAGTTTGGCGGGTGGGAAGGGGGGTATTAAATTATTTTTAAATTTCGGAGATTACAAGGGGTTTTTTTTTTTAGTTGTTCGCCTTTTGTCCCATTTTCATTCCCTTATCGACGGCAGAAGATGCGAATGGGCGATGAGGGAGCGTTAGGCACAACCGTTTTTGCTCTGGCGATTGGTGGTCCACTGATTTGGGGACAGAGGATTCTTTTTTTTAGCTTTTTCGGTTTCAGGTACAGAAGTTACGCTGCGTAAACATCTCACGTCCACAAAAATGTCTACCAGATGAGGGGCCGAAAGCAGGCGAAAGAAGAAGAAGACGTGCACAGCCAGCTCTCCAAAAAAAAAGGGGGGATGGAGGAGGAGTAGTTACTAGTAATCATTAGATAAGGCTAGGACAAAATGAAGGATCGATATACAATAACAATATGAAACTGCACAGAGCGTGGCGTGGAGAGGTGTCTGTCTGAACGAGAGCATGCTCCGTAGCAAGGGAAACGATAGATGTCGATAGACGTGTATGATACAATACAAAGCATCCACCTATTGCCGTTTTTCTATCAACACTGGATGTTTTTTTAGCAGCGATGTTGTCAATAACAACTGGTTGGTGGTGTGCGGTGAGCGACCACGGCCGTGCCTAAGTACCAGGTACCATCTGCCACGCTCGGGATAGGCTTGTTTCAAGGTACCGGTACCCGCGCTGTTTATTGGCTGCTGGGGGCTCGCTTTTTCCCTCCAACGCGAATTCCAGCTCCAACTTCGACGTCAACTCCCACGCCAACTCCAACTTTCTGTTCATCGTCTCCCTACCGGCTACGCTGCGATCTGCCTTGGCCGTCAACCAAGACATTGGGCACTCTTCTTTCGCTCCACGCGACCTGCCAATCTCTCTGTGTCTTGCCTTGGCCTAGACCCGCTTCTCGTACTCGTTCTTCCTGTATCCGCCCTTCTCTAGGCCCTTTTGTCCCTGGGTGAAGCGCCGTCGGTTCGCTATACCTCCCTTGACGGAAGAACAGCACCCCGCGCGTGGCATTGTCGATCAGCTTGCTGGATATACTTTTCTTCCATGGTTGCAATCTTTATCTGGCTGGGAATTGCTGTCAGTCTGTGTGATTGTTGACACCAGAGTCGAACCCTTCCCCGTTCTGGATGACCCCCTTGATCCACGTCGAACTCTCTCTGAAAACCGCCGTCTTCTGTCCAAATCTCATCTAACTCCCTCTCTCACCCCGCCATGGCGTCCTCGTAAGTGTTATATACTAATAGTTGAAGGGATGGATGCTTTGTGTTCCCTCTCCCGTCCCCCTCCCTCCACTCGCAGTGATAATGGAAACTGACCCGCTAATTTATTCGAAGTCTGGGCTCGGCATTTCGCTCCTTCTGGCATACCATGACCTCTAATGACAGACACGCCTCCCACGACTCTCCCTATCGAACCGGCCAGCATGTTCCCCTTAGCCAGAACCGCAATGCTCCTCTCACATCCGTGGCTACAAGCGCTGTCGAATCTCGTGCGGATCTGAGCTTCGAGGAAAATCCCGCCAAACGATCCTCCAGTCCTGCGTGGTCAGGTTCCCATGGGGGAGTCACCTCTCCCGTTAGACCCTACTCGCCAGGCATGAGGTCGTTATCCTCCCAGCAGAGAAGGTCTAATGAACTCAGTAGCTCGGATGGTGTTGCTCCGACGGAAATACAAATGCAGAGTTTCCATGCCGGCGCCCCGCCCCCTCCACCTGTCTCACATTCTTGGAAAAAGATCGATCAATGGGCAGAAAGCAACTACGAAGAACTTTACGATCAATTGTGCGAAGGGTGCTCGCAGAATGATGTGAACGAGCTGGAACATGAACTGGATTGCACTCTTCCACTAGAGGTTCGGGAATCTCTGCAAATTCACGACGGACAAGAACGCGGTGGAAGACCAACAGGCATTATCTTCGGCTGCATGTTGCTCGACTGCGAGGAAATCGTCCAGGAATGGAAAAATTGGAGGACTGTGAACGAAGAATTCCTCAGCACAACTACTGTTACCCCTCCTCAACCACCCATGAAAGCATTTGGTGGAAGCTCCGCCGCTTCCTCTTCATCAGCGCCTCCGCCACCACCACCTCAAATAGGCTCGAACCCGCTATGGAGACAGGAATTGTTGGACAAACAAGATTCGCAGCCACCAAAGGCCATCCAGAAGGCATATGCCCACCCCAGCTGGATCCCTCTGGCTCGTGATTGGGGTGGAAACAACATTGCCGTTGACTTGGCCCCAGGGCCAGCGGGGAAATGGGGCCAGGTTATCATATTTGGCCGTGACTATGATTGCAAATACGTCGTTGCAAGATCATGGGCCGCCTTTCTTGCCATTGTTGCCGAGGATCTTTGCTCCCCAAAATCCTTCGTGGACGACGAATCTGGTGAACTCAAACTGAAGCAATTTAAACAACCAGGTGTTGAACCTCCATATCTCGAAATCCTACGCTGGCGCACAGATCAAAAATACGGCCGGAGGCCTCCGAGGAGAAAGACACCGAACGGACTCGGTGTGAATACCGGTGTGAATGGAAGCAGAGATTCTCCTTACGGGAGCCCAACAACAGCTGCCGGCGGAGATGAACGCGGACGGTCTCCCCATCGATTTCCTACCCGAGGACCAAACGCAAGCCCGAAAACAGGATTTGGGGTCTCGAGCCCTCTCGCTCGAGTCACGGAAGAAACAACCTCGCCAGTGAGCCCCGGCAGCAATAACAACAAAATCGACGGCACCGGTTCTCTGAATTCCGATGCAACCAAGAGTCCCAATGGCGTTGCTGATGCTGCCTCTTCCACCACCACGACAACATCGACAACATCGACAGCAACGACAGCAACAGCATCGTCAGACACCTCCAAGAGCGACGTTGCCACCGATGATCCTCCAGAAACAGGCCCTTCTGCCGCACCGTCGAAGGAGAAAGAGAAGGAAAAGGACAAGCGCAGAAGTAACCTGACCAGCCCACGTTCGTCGACGGGACTTGATGCGGATGCTTTGGAAGGGATGAAGAGCATTGCTATCTAAAAGAGAGACAAAAAATGAGAGAAAATACATTGAAAAACAAAAATCACAACATTTCTATGCGGCAAATGGTTTCTACTTCTTTTCTAGGGTCTTTCCTCCCTGCTTGTTGATCACCCTTCTCTTTATCTCCTGCTTGATGTTTCCCTCCCCTCTAACCATTAGATAATGGAGGTGATCTAGGAACTTTGAGTTAGGAAGTCGGGGGGAAGGGAGGAGTTGTCTGCTTGATGGGTCAACGGGTTGCATGGCTGCATGCTGTATATGTTCATATTTTGTTGGACGGGAGCAAAGTTGTAGGTAGCCCTTACTTATTCTAATCGAAGGGCTACCACGTCTTATGTTTCCCGTTTCTTCTAATCCCCTGTTGTCGGCCTCCCTGTCCGGTTTGTGTTCCTTCTCTTCGCTTTTCATTTCTTTTTCATCCTTATATCTTCTCCTGGCTTCTGCTTTTTTTTTACTAATTATTCATATTTCCCTTCTCCACCTTTTCACTTTGCTCTGCTTGGCTTGCTTGCTATTCTCTTCTCTTCTTTTTCTTCTGTCATGTTATTGTGGTTTTAACCACTCATCGCGCAGGCC